GCTGAAGAACCTTAAAAGACTCATGTAATCCTCCCATGTAATTTATTCACACAAGCCTATGAAGCACAGATTTATTAGCAGGTAGTAGAAGTGCAGAAGCTCAAGGAAAACTGTCCGAACTTTGAAGTGATTTTTCAGAAGTGTGTTTTCCTCCCCAGACACACACACGGCCCTGCGTGCCATGGAAACAGAGTGTAGCTGTTCTGCCTTGCCATGGGAACACTGTTTTGAAGACATTTTCTTTAACCAGGCTTTTAGCACATGCATTTTGATTTACATCCAAATGGGTCACAGACATCAATGCAGCATTATATGGGCAGAAAAGGGGAATGAAATGCTTTTAACATGAAAAATATGCTCTTGCATGTAGGCCAACTTTTGTTCTCTTCCAATTTATCTAGGATTTGGGTGGGTTTAATTCTAGGACCAAATTCAGTACTGGCATAAGTGAGCACAACTCCATTAGTGCAAATGGAGTCTCAACATTTGTGTCAACAGTGAACTTAGATCATTGAATTTTTCCCATGTTTGGGCTTACATGTTTCCTGCAAGATAATATACACATGTACTTGCACATATGCTGCACATATGCACATAAAAATTCACTGGGGAGGACGTTTGGCTCTGTGCTCCATGTTTGACTTTATGTACAGAAACTGCCATCAGCTTATGAGTTTTTTTGCTTCTCCTGTAGCTAATGTGCCATGCATCTGTAAGGGTCAGCCATGCAGAATGCCACGTTGCAAGTAAAATCGCCAGCAACAAAGGCAGACGCGAAAACTGCTTTTCTTCCCTCAGCTTGCAGGACTGCACGTGCTCACAGGCCCATGTGATTAGGTTGTACAGATTCTTCTCCCCCCTGTTCTCGTGAAGTTGAACACTGTCTTGGACAGGGGGATGTGTAGAAATACTAGAGATGCTTATCACTGGAGTGAATTGTAATATTTACTCAGCTGCAGGCCTCAAGTTTAGTGCGTGCCATGAGGTCTGCTCGCCTCTTAGTGCCTGAGGAGTAGCAAGGCCAAGGCAGAGGTGTCTCATTCTCTGTGGTGCTTCCACAGCACATGAGGAGTTCACGTTTGTAGGCACCATAGATTCCCCCCCCCATCCCGTATTTAAAGGCAGCAGTAATATTTTCCTTTTTTTGCTTGTTTTCAAGTTGGAAGGCCTTAGGTATATCCTGAGAGCGACATTTCCAGTGCTCCCTCTGCCCAACAAAATGGGGTGTCCTCGTGTTCTCAGTATCAAAAGAGCTGAATAACATTTGTGGTGAGAATTAGAGGACGCTGGCCTGTAGAACAGTGTGAAATGGGATCTCTAGGAAGAAAAGTAAGGCTCTGCCCACATATAAAACTTGACCCTTCTCTGTGAACATTATCCCTGTGAATAATTGGAAATCTGCATTCAGGCTTCCTGCTGTGTCCCATCCCCTGAGGCCACACCCTCTGTATTGCTTTACATGGTGCAGCAAAGCACAGCGAGATTTACATATATATCACATAAAAGTGTTTACAAAAAAAATTAGCATGTGATTGAGCTGGGAAGCTGCAGAGGGCCCCAACTGTACGAGTTTCCATGTGCTTCAGCCAGAAGATTTATTTCCAATTTGTTATTCATAAGGGAAGAGCGAGAGATTGGGATGGGGTCCTTTGAAGTGGAAAACAAAGTCTTCTATTCAGCCTTCAGCTTAATAGAATACACATGACACAGGCTTGGCATGGCGGCTGCTTTCATGTAATGTGCTCCTTGTCATTTTGCTTCCCTAGGCTGTGAATGCTAGTGGGAATGGGTATTGCCCTGGAAAAGTCAGGTTATCCCCTGCAGCCTTCTGCAGGAGGAGCACAGTGTGAGCAGGTAGGAGCCTTTTGGTGATGGTGGTGGGGAACCCAGGCTGAGCCAACTGTTTGCAGTCGTGTTGCTCGTAATTCCTGGGCTGTGTTTCATATTGCAAGAGCACATGTAAGCAGAGTGGTGTCATTGCAGGGCTTCTGCAGGCGTTGCATGGGCACTTCTGCCCCTTTTGGAGCTGCTGAGCTGTGGCCTGTGGGCTCTGAGCCTGCCTCTGACGCCCATCCTCTGCCTGACCTGAGCTCTCGCTGTTATCCCCCCTGACTGGAAGGCTCTTTCAAATCTGTGCAGCATCTAAGATGGCAGAGTGAGATCTGGGCCCTGTATCACTGCAGATAACCAGGCATTCCATTCAAAGTCAGTGCTTTTGGGATATTTGAATATGGACCCTGAATTTCTTTCCAGGAACAAGGCCCTGGTTAACCAGTAATCCACAAGTATCCAATATCTTCTGTGCTTTACCCTGTCTTAATGGTGGTAAAACCTTCTCAGTGCAGCACGAAGGCAAGTGCTTTCAAAGAACTTACAATCCCGACTTACCACAAAGCCCTGCCAATTAGTTGGCCCATAGGCTATTGAGAGAAAGCATGAGTGGCCTTCAGCACGTCATCTTGGCCCATAGCATTGTGTGGTTAGAAAGAATTTGGACCAGAGTCCTGCTGGTCCTCTTGGCCTTGTGACACTTGTTCCTCTTGGCTTCCTCCGGCAATGATGTCCTCGTGCCCTGCTTCTCTCTTGCTCTTCTGCCTGTTCAGGTTTGGAGCTCTGGGTGAATCACTGAAACTGGAGATGGAAAGAAATGCATGAAGTCATCTCATCCTGCCCTTGCCAGCGCAGGATTATTCCCCACAGTACAATCGTGAGTGCCTTCTCCAATCTATTTTTAAATGACTCAAAGGAGAGGGCTTTCCTCTCCTCCCTGGGGAGGCTGGCTCTGCGGTTCAGTAGACCTCACTCTTGGGGAATTTTCTTCCTGTTCTCCAGCCTCAATTCTCCTTTTCCCTAATTTAATTGAACTGTTCCTGGCTCCACCCTTTTAAACAATTTTCCGTATTGCATGATTGTTGCAAATACCTGTTGTCAATTTGCAGGCAAAATGGATGGGAATTCATCACCGTTTGCCTTGCTTGGCAAAGGCTCTTTGTGCAGAGCTGCACTGGGAAGCCAGGCTTTATCAGAAACTAGATTTCAGAGCTACATGCCAAGAAATAAGAATGACCTTTTCCTTCTTCTTTGGACAATGACATTAACATAAAACCCCATCATGATTGAGAATAGGCTGGGCTTCTGGCAAAGCCATGGATGTCTGTATTAATGGGCTGATTTTTCTCTTAGTCCTCCAGCAGCTCTTCGACGGTGCTTTCTTTTCATGGCAGAAGTAGCTGCTGTAAGTTCTTGGATTTAGCTGTAGAGGTGCAGACATTTGGAGAACGTTTAATGAAAAAATACAGTAATTCTGTTTTTTGTCAAGTGGCTCCAGCATTTAAGTTTCAAAACTCCTGATTTTCAATTTGAGCGTTTTTTTTAAGCACCTGAAGTGTTCTGAAAAGGGATGTTGAAGGTGGGATTTATGCTATTGCAACACCCAGACACTTTGGAAGGTAGTGCCGTTTGTCTTAGGGAGCACTGTGTCCTTCATCCAGCAGGACTGAGCTGTGGGAGAACTGTGTGTCCAAAAGGCTGTAAGTTATTCCAGAAAAGCATATTATGGTTTTGAAGAATTATGAATCCCTATTTACTTATTTATGAGACGAAAATGAGTTTCTGCTGTGGGTGAGGGCAGAATACCATCCCATACTAAAAACACCAGGAAAAGAATGGCTAGCATTAAAGAGGCTGGAATCCCTTCAGTGCTCTCGTACAGCAGAGCTGCAGCTATTTAGCTGTGGCAGGGTACCAAACAACATTGTGGCTGGCCATTGTTGCTTGAACAGTTTGATTTTTAAAACATTCAACTGAAATATAACCACCAGCCAAGCTGGAACAAGCGAGTCATGAGGACAGCGTGTTAAATGAAGAGTCAGCAAACAAGGGAAGAGTTCTCCTGCTCCAGTGGAAAGTTGCTGTACTGAAGACCAGGAGCCCCAGAGCAATATCTCAGCCTAGCACAGCTACCAATTGCTTTTAAGGAGATTTTTATGGTATAGAAGTCATATGACTTTAAAAAGAAGGGGAAGGCCACAGCTATAAAATAAAATTCCTGATTTCTCCGTGGTAGGCCTCAGAAGGGCCATGGATCCCATCCCGTTTTGCTCAGCGCTGATCCTCACATCGTAAACCAGAAACCTCTCCTCCAGAGAGCTTCCAGCGTTGAGTGTTTCAGGAGATGGGGATGGGGGGATGCAGCAGAGTGGAGGAGGAGAGAGCACGGTGACCACATGCCATGGTACAGCCAGCCCAGCTGGCCCTTGCTGCTGACACCGGTCGGGCTCATCAGACGGGGTGAGGCGACTCTTGAGAGGTTTTTAGGAGGTTCCTGTTGGTGCTTTCGAACGGTGCATGTTGAAATGCTGCTGTGAGCTGAGGGGTGGCAGCAAGGTGTGGGGGAGCTGAGGAGAGGAGGGTACGTGGTCCTTAATGATGCCAAGTGAAAAAGAGAGACACACCTGCTCTGGGATATAAGGGGAGTGATGAGAGTAATTCCTGAACGACGGGGTTTTGGGGGGAAAGTGACGGGAAGGGTTGGTTTAAGAAAGGTAGGGGAGCAAACAGGACTTAGATCTCGTGGTTTTGGGGACTGTTCATTTTAAGTAGGAGCCTTGGTACATCTGAGCCGAGCTGATATTGGTTCTTGCATGCCTCTCCCCCCCTCCCCTTCCTGCTCAGTGTTTTTGCTTTGCGTTGTTTTATCTGCCAAAAAGAAAAATAAATTCACAAAATATTTGCAAAGTTGCATGGCCACAGGCTTAAATACATACATATGAATTCCCTGAAAGCAATTTGCTTCAGGCCCTTGGTTCCAGACGTCTCTCTCACTCCATCTGCTCGTTCAAGTACACAAGTTCCTTGGGAAAAATCACTTATTACATCACTGAAAAATGCCACAAAAATAGCTTTTCACTTAAGTTCCCATCCTCGGAGTTAACTCACATGGGGATCAGATAGATTCAAACATTTAATAACTTTTTATTTTCCTTTCTCTTTAAACACAGGATCTCTGGTCATGGAAGCAGGGTCACGTGGTGGATTCTTGGCAGTCAGCAGTCTGTGGAGCTTTTGCAGGTGCAAAGGATTATATGTTATACTGGGAAAGACTAAAGAAGAAAGGGAAAAATGTGCAAATCTATTAAGTATAGCAGAACAACATTCCTTTGTAATTCAAGTTTGTTTAGAAGAAAATGGACCAGTTGTTGTTTGGAAATAGGAAAGTCAGCAAAGGAAAGAGAGGAATGAAAAAAAAGAAGACTCAACCAGGGTGTCTGTTTGAAAGACAACCAATTTGTTTTTGACAAATTTCTGTTATTTAAAAACCAGGGACCTGTCAGTCAGGCTTTGTGATTATTTCAAAGTTGATCTGGAAAATCCTCATCCAGGAGGAACTTTGCTTGGGTGGGGGTTTGTGCAGCTGTCCCCTCCCAGCGCTTCCCCAGGGGCTGGAGTGATTGCAGCGAGAGGCCATGATTCACCATTCATGTGACAGCCCTGACAGCCATGTAGATTAACTGGAGGCAGGAGAGCAGAGGAGAGCACTGCTCAGCCTGGAGGCAAAAGCCTTCCACAGCAAAAAAAAAACCCAGAGGACAAAACATCTGGGCAATCTCCAGACACTAGAACAAGAATAAAGAGTGGCAGAGTACAATACTGCACTATTTATTAGCAAACGAGCCAGAAGTTAATTGAATTCTTCAGTAGGCTTCTTGCTTGATTTTTAGACTACTGTACTTGTTTAAAAAAAAAAAAAAAACAAAAAAAAAAAAGAGAGGAAAAAAATCAATTAATGACTCATCAGTATAGCTGACAAGTTTGAGGGAGGAGAGACTCAACTGTCTTAATAGAAAAAACAGATTAGTAGTTAAGAGATGGATAGCCAGAGCTTTTCCCCATGGAGCTAAAATACATTTTGAGATTCCAAACCAGTAACAGAATATGTGGAAAAAATAAATCCTGTTTAAAGGGAAATTATAGCATTTCTTGAAATAGAGACTATCGAAAGCAAAGCTTGTTCTTTGATAACTTAAATTCAGAACCATTACATTGTATGTAATTTTTTTTAAAAATAAGTTGTGTTATGGGAAATGAAGTATTAATAGCAGCAGAATTCCTGCAGAGACTGAGGCTTCATTTTGAAGGGCACTGAAACTGCACAGCTGAGGGAAGGGACTGTGCCTATGGCTGCACAGTTTAGTAGATTGGGTGTGTGAGCAGTGAGGGAATGGTTTAGGTAGAACTGATTCCATTTTTGGGCAGAGGGAATATTTTAGATGACCTCTCGTGGTCTAGTCCAGCTGTAATTTTTGTGTTTATGTGATGGGAAGGGAGTTTTATCCTGCTTAAAATCCCGCTGCTGGATTCTACACTGACTGCATCAATCAGTGCAAACAAAATCAGAGCCGATTAAAGCAGATCGTTCATTTTTGTTTTGAAACAAATCAAGCTACCAGACTAAAAATGTTTAAAATGTAATCTGTACGTCTGCAGGTGTGATGGGGATCATTAATTTACCTCTGTTGATTTCTTTACAGTCAGATTGATACAAAAACTGTGTTCAGGCATGTTCAGAGAGCTGGAAGGTTATCTGATTTACCCAAGGCCTTGCAGAGTAATTTCCTGAAGTCCAATTTGGTGCCTCAGTTGGAAATGTAGCCCAGTGCCTCCAGTTCCTTCTCTGAGTGCCTTGATTTTGACCAGCTGTGCTTGGACTTGCTGCTATTTAATGGATGTTCAGCAGTGTCTGCTGCTTTTCTAGCAGAAATATTGCAGAGGGAGCTTTCAGAGGCACTCTGGGGAGACCTAACACTTGGTGTTGGAGGAGACACCGGGTCCTGGAGCAGCACAGAGACTTCCAGGTCCATGGTGGTGGTAAATGGGATAGTTCAACCTACCTGCCTTTGTAGGCTCTATTCCCCGAGTACAAATCTTTGCAAATCTGGAGTCCTGTTTTGTAGGTCTTGTTGTGATCAGTGATCATAAATATTCTCTGGGTCATCCTTCCAGCTTCACTTCCTCCATCCTGGTTTTCCTTCTCTGTGCTTTGTTTCCCTATTCTTTCCTTTTCACCAACAGTGCTGTCAACTTCCTTTCTCATGTGTCCTTTGAGGACCTGCTTCCAAACTCACAAGGTCCAGCTCTTTTTGCATCAGAACCTTCCCCTCTGTCTCCATTACCTCCCTCTGCAGACGTGGAACCTTCAGACCCTCCTTATTGACCTGTTCTGGTACTGCATCCATTCTATTTCACAGAAAATATTTGGCCTTCTTGCTGAGGGGAGGCAGTGGAAAAATAATTTCCTGCTTTCTGAAGAATGGATTGCACAGTTAAAAATTATTAACTACCTACATAGGGCTTCAAACAAGCAAAGAGAAAACAGACCAAACCCTTTATCCCTTTCTTTCCACCCCAAAACATAAAGAAATCAAAACCTCACCAGTACCCTGTGAATAAAACAAGGTGGATGTGTGCATCCAAGTGATTGAAAATCTTCATGTTATAAACCTGAAAAGAAGAATGTTATCCAAAAAACAACCTTTACACAAAGAGATGCTGTCAAATGCCACCATGGTAGTAGTGGGATGGTGAAATCACACAGACACACTTTTCTTCTCTGTTCTTTGCTTGAATTCAATACTTTCTAAAAATATGTTAGAGGTCCTGAGGGGCAGGGTAATAAGCTGAAACAAACTGAAAGAAAAGTCCTATATAGCTTCCCTTTATGGCACACACACGTGTCTGTGTGCATTGGTTAGTTCCTAGCTGAATTATAACTATTTGGTGAAGGCAGAACCAAGAGCAACAATCTGTTGATTTCCATCCCCAGTGCCTGTGAAAGTGGCAGCAGTTCCAGGCAAAGTGCTGTGAGGGGCCTGGTGCTGCTGTGTTGAGCACACGTGTAACGTGTATGTATGTGATCCATGGGGGTTTTATAGAAATGGAGCAGGCATGAGCACAGATACCAGAGATGTGGAATCTGCTCTGGCTCATCTGTTAATAATTTAATCCCCTGAGACCTTGTCCAGCTTTATCATTGTTCTGGTGTCTTAGCTAGAGATGTTTGGAGCAGTGATGGAGCGGGAGGAGGTGGTATCTGAGCAGCCGGTGGGGAAGAACCCAAGGGTAGATCTACATATTTTAAGCCTCAGGTTGTGTTTGAACCAAACCTTGCCTCATTTGGACACCAGCCCAGATTTGGGCACAGGGGGGAGGCAGAGGCATTGTCCCCATGCTGTGGGCAGGCCTGGCATGATTGTGGTTGTGCTCCATGCTGGAGTCTTCTCTGGGCTTGGGCTGCCTGGCTGGACCACCTGCAGTGTACAGGGGCAGGCAGTCCCAGAGGAGCTTCTGGCTGAGCCTTGTGTGTCCTCCAGGGAAGTGAGACAGTGGCAAGGAAACCCTGCCATCGGGTATTAGCTGTCAGGAAGGCAAAGTACTGCCCTGGAGGTCTCCAGCTTGTCAAAGAATCTAAATGTCCATTTGATGGGATTGAAAATTAACCTCTGTTAAGATGCCTTCTTTCTCTCTATCTAAAAAAAAGTGTGGCTTCGCATTAATAATTAATGCTCTGTGGTGACAAAGGCAGCAAGGATGGAGGTGCAAGTCTAGTGAGACGTAAGGCACTAACGAGAGCTTTTTGCACATTAACAGGGAGGATTTCCCATCACTTTTGTTTTGATCTAATCGGCTCTGACAAGATTACACACTGTGTCTAAAAGCCTCTTTAACTCTATAGCTCTGAATAAATTTTGAGTAGTTCTCAAGATTTCCCTGCAGAGTCTGCTTGGACTGGACTCCTAACCCTGAATTAGTTAAATCTCTGAGGAAGCAGTGCTTTGTCTTGGTATTTCTGCTGAAATCCAAAGAGGTTCTTAGGTCACTTTGTTCTACCATTGGCAGGTGCTGTTCCCACACTGATAAAGGACCAGAATAAACTTCCTCTTAAAAAAAATTAACATAATATCAATAAAATAAAAGTTCAAATAAGAACCTATTGATTGAAGAGTTCTGAAAAAGGCCATTTGTGAACTTGGAATTCAGTCAGTGTAAGAGGATGCTGTGAGGTTTAGGTTGGACCTGAGCCACTGAGTTTTTCAACCCAGATTTGGGATTCGATCCTGAATCAGTCCTTGGTAACCTTCAGATGACAGTACAGAAAATAATAGTGAAGAAAGCCAATAGCACAGCTCATTGTGGATTTTTTTCTTTTCCTAAGACAGGCTAATTCCAACAAGCACATTAGTCAAGCACAAGTTCTTGTCTCTAGAAACAAGCTTGAGCTACTGAACTGGGCTGGTATTGCAGAAGAGAGAGCAGGGGTCTGGTCAGATGACAGGAACACAGAATCAGGAGGAACCTCTGTGAAGGCCAGAAGGGTTCCCTGGACCCTTTAGAACAGGTGACTGAAGGAGAACTTGTCTTCTTCCCTTCATAGGATCTTGTCTGAGGATTGTGTCAAAGTACCTGTGAAACATTTTCCTGTAGCAGCAAATTCTACAGGCAGCCACCTTACTGCGAGGACCCAGGGCTGTGTATTGTTCTCAGGCGAAGTATTTCACTCTGTTCTGATGCTTTTATTTGTGTATGACAGCTAAAAAGAGCAGAAAGTACCAGCAGGAACCTAGGGGAAAATCTTTAATCTTCAAGACTTTTTCTTCTTGTTGCCAAATAAAGGTAGACCATTCTCTGCAGGTGTCTGTCACTAGCACTTCCATCAAGAACTGGTCCCTGGGAAAGTGTGAGTAGCAGAGGGATTTTCTGTTTAACACCCTGAGCTCAGCTGATGTGTGAATATACAGTGACCATTGTAACTTCTTGGGAGACAGGTGATGAATTTCCCACTACTGAGTGAAGGTTTATTTTCCCAGTAGAGGAATTTGTCACTCTGCTAGAGGTATTAATGAGCCAAGAGCCTTCTCCCATGTGAAAATCCATGTTTATGCCTACCTGCTGAGCCCAAGTCTTTCTAGGGCAAGGGAGAAAGGAGCCTTGTCCAGGAGTGAGCTGGTGAGTGAGTCTGGGCACAGACTGCCTGCAAAGGTGCCCGTTTCTCCATCAGCTCTGCAGAGAGGTTGGAATGATTAGGAGTGTGAGGCTGAATATGTCTGGGCCTTTCTTGCCCATTTGATACTATGATGGTTTTCCTGGTTGCTGACTAGTTGAGCAGACTCCAACCTTATATGGCAGCTCTTGGAGAATTCAGTGACAGCAGGAGTAGAATGACTAAATAAATAAGAAGTGATTTAAAGATCTGTTGGGCCCCAATGTGTCTTAGTGCAGTGCACAGCCCTCCTATTTTCAATGAGTAGACTCTGGCTGTACTGGTTTGTATCTGTTGTGTTAATCTGATGATTGGAAACAGTCATGTTTTAATTTCCTTCACCTGGCTGGAGTAGGTGGGACTGAGCAGTGCCTTGCTGATGGTGTGGCCTGTTCCTGGATAGCTGTGCACTAATGTTGAGGAGGTCATTCTAAAATTACCTTGGACATTTAGGGTTAAGGCTGGAGCAAATTCATTTTGTCAGACTCACTGCCTTCAATAAAAAGGCAGTTCCCAGCAAATGCTAGCTTTAATCTTGTGTTTTTGTCAAGCATATACAAACTTGCTTTTAATTTAGCCGCTATCCTGCTGCTTGTTGTGCTTATGAAGCATTTTATTGTTGCTGTTGTCGTTCTGAATTGATTGGTAAATCTGTCTGTACCGAATACTTCCCAGTGATGGAAAAAGAAACATAGAAATTTTAATAACACAAGAGTAGGAAAAATCCAGATGTAAGCTGGGGAAAAATGAAAACCAATCAGCCTTGATTAAACTTTTCAGATAAGAATTTGGGAACATCGTGTCAGGATAAACTGTGTTTGTTCTAATCACTCTATCAGCCAAGATTAAAGCTGCTGCCAATAAGAAACTTTTAGGACCAAATGCAAAAAAAAATTTAAGGGATCTGATAAGAGAAATAAGTGGGTCTGACTAACGTGTTACCATCAGTGTTGTAGCTGGATGATGCTTTGAGATTTTTTTGCTTGTTGCAGGTCTGACAGCCATGTGTTCACTGTTTAATTTTATCTTGTTCTGTGGGCAAAGGAAGGGCTTCTACATCCAGACTTGTAAAGCCAGTATTTTCCATGAAGATTATTTTTACTGTTCTAAAAATACACCGCTGTCATGAGTACCAAAGTTTCTATCCAGACCCTTCCCTCAAAGCCTTTGGGTCACTCACTCAAAAACTGGCTCACAGTAAAAAAGGATTTCTGGACTGGAATTTACTTTAACTTGCTCATGGTTTCTGCTTTTGCCTTCTTGAATACAACCCATTTTTCTGCTTTTCAGTGAGGCACCACTGCTGGAAAGGTTCCGGCAGAGGGAACCACATGGGCCGACCCTACGGGAGCCGCAGCTGCTCCTAAACCAGGCATTTTGGGCTCTTCACTAACTCAGCTTTCCTGCTATTCTTGTTTGAGATCCAGGGCACTGCACATGTGCCTAACTGCATCTCCTGAACTGTCATGGGACATTCCTTAATTAACTGTAAGAAGTCAAGGAGGGTGCCAGCTGGCCCAGCCTCCTCTGTCATAAAACAGGGGTTTAATATGTTCAAGCTAAGGTGATGGAGAGAGAGAGAGATATGCAGGTAAGAACATGAGCCAGCAGGGAAAATGGATTTTTTCATTACTTTACACATTTTGGAAGAAATGCCTTTTCCCCCTCTCCCATCCCAAGAAAAGAGAAATCAATTTTTTGACATTCCTTAAAACTTGGAACAGAAAATAGATTATTTTTAGCTTATTCCCTGGGTACTGTGTAGGCTCCAGCCTTTGGAGTCACTTTGTTCCCTGCTGTAGCAGATACAGGATTTATACAAGCTCCACAGAAAAAAAAACAGGAGGAAGAAGAAACATTTCAGAACAAGTCTCTCTTTTACCTCCCCACCCTTTCTTCCCCTTTCATTCTTCACTTACTGCTGCTCCTGCATTTCAGAAGTTTCCTTCACTTTGGCTCTTCCTCAGCGTGAATTACTTACTTGAAATATTGTGAACAGAAGAGGAGAGATTAAAGTTAATTTTAGGATGGGGAAATAAGGCAAAGGGAGTAAAATTCTGGGAGAAAAAGCAGCAAAGCTGGTCCCTGGATAGCACAAGAGGCCAGGCTGTAGCCACAGGGTTAGAATGTGGAGCCAGACACACACGTTTGTGGGTGAGACATGCAGATGGATAAGCTGGCTTTCTGGCTTTCAGGAGGAAAGTCACAGCTGAGCTGGCTGCAGCAAGTGAAAGTAATGAGCTCCAAGGGTGAAGTTTGGGAGTGATTAGAGAGAATAAAAATGGCCCTGAGGCGAAGATGGCACTTGTGGCAGCAGACTTCTAACAATTTTCTGAGACCTTTGGGCAGCTTCACACTGTTGTTATCCAGGGTGGAGCTGATTTCATTTGTTGGAGGTGAGCTCCATCCCAAATACTGGCTTGTCTTTTTTTCCTTGAAACAGAGTCCCAGGTCTAACAGTCCAGATCCAGTCTCTCTGTATCTAGTGATTGTCTTTGCCCCTGAAGCTTGTGTGTTTCAGATGCAGAACATCTTTCTATCCTTGTAGCATTTGAATGGTCAGACTTTAATTCTCAAGGCTGAACACAGTGGCACTGGTTTATTTTCCCATCTCTGCAAATGAGTGAGCATTTGCTATCATTACAACCTTCATGTGTTCATACATGTAGAGTCCAAAACAAAAGGACAGTGGTCTCCCTGGGGACGTTTGGATTTACAGTTAACTAATATAGAGCTGTTTTCTTAAGTCAACGCACAGTAACAAAACACTCTGTGTGCAGACCCTCGACAAACGTACCTGGGCTCTGACGGGGGGGAACAGGCTGTGGGCATTAATAACAGAGCAGTGTTGACCACAGCCCTGGGAATTATAGGCAGTGTGGCATTCATATTCACCCAACAATGTCTCACTTGTGTTTGGTATTTTAATTTTCTCAGGTGGATTTGCAGCTGTAGTCACCACACCTCTCGACGTAGCGAAGACGAGAATTATGTTGGCAAAGGTAAGAGCGAAGGAGTCCAGCAGACACACAGGTGACTGGCCTGGGTAGTTCCAGGCTTTCTGTAGGGTTGTTACAGAATGAAATCCAGCACCTATTAATAATCATTTCTGCTCTTGTTCTAGAAGGCAGGATTAGATGTGAACAGGCAGAACTAATGAAATTGTTGTGTTCCTTTCCTTGAATTGCCCCTCTGGTCCTTTCCCAAAGGACTTGTCTGAAACAAGGCTTGGACTTGTGCTTGACTTCCAGAGTCTCATGGAGTGCCTTTAGGAGAAGATCCTTGCAGAGTCAGACACCCAAAGTTAAACTGCTCATCAGGGATTTTTTCCTCTGTTGTTTTGATAACTGTTGGGCTTCAGAGTGTGTGTGTGTCTTTTCTGAGGAGGGCTTGGCACTGGATTTTCTGTCCTAAAATTTTAAGCCACAGTGATTGTGATGGCCTACATCTGCCAACCAGAGCAAAAGATCAGTAAGTTTAGTAAGTTTATAAATTGATAGTGGGTCTGATGTTCCCATCATCATCTCACTGACCGGAGCAGAGCTGACAGCTACATAGCTGAAAGCCCTGAGCAGGTGGATGTTCCTAAAGCCTTTCTCTGCCCTCAGAAGAGCTGTTATGTTGGCAAAGGACAGGCATCCTGGAGGTTGTACGGGTGGTTTTCACCCTGCTGCTCATGTCTCTTAGTATGGAGGTGTAACTTGTTGATAACATGCACCTCCCCAGCCAAGTCACACACGTCTGTGCTCACCACATTGCTGGGTGTATCTGTCATTGCTGGGGTGTATCTGTCATTGCTGGGCTGCATCTGCTGCAGATTCTTTGTCTTTCAATTGTGTGGGTGCTAAAACTGTAAGAACCAGGTTTCGATTATCTGTGCCCCTGTCCTGGGCAGCCAGGTAAACATTGGTAGGGGAAGAAGGGTGCTGTGAGGTGTTCTGAGACCACTCAGACAGCTTCTTTATATTAGTTATCTCCACAAACTAGATCACACATCTAATAACTACAGAATCTGTAGTTCTGCTGTTTGTCCTCTGGTTTCCACTTAAGGCAATTTTCTCATGCAGTGCACTGCTCACGTTCTCTCTCTCTCTCTCTGTGGTGCAGGCTGGTTCCAGAAATGCCAGCGGGAATGTTCTGACTGCCCTTGGTGGCATCTGGAGGACACAGGGCCTGTCAGGGTAAGGACATGCTGCACCTCGGGTGTTGTATCTTTGTGTGTCAGGGGGTGGGAGAGGATGGGATGGTCTGCTAATATTTAAATGCTGCCAAAGAGAAAAGATTTTGGTTGCTGTACACCTGGACAGGGAGCGGGTAGCTGAGAACAAGTCCCTCAGGGAGGGACTTGTATCCATTTAAATTCAGGCTTGCACATCTTGTGGCAGTGAGGACCACAGTTTCCTCTTGAGGTGTGTGAATCCCCCCTCCTGAGATGTCAGGGAAGGACGGCATAGGAGTTGTGTTTCCCTTATGGACAGTCTTTTCCACCTCCTGGCAATTTCTTATGCTATGGAACTCTGAGATGATGTCAGTCCAATCTCTTAACTACCTCACTTTGCTCAGGCCTGAGACAGAGAATTGCTCTCCTGACCTTGGAGTGGTGTGGGAACACAGATTCCTCTGCTAGCATTTGTAGAACATTTTGAGGTATCAAAGGCTTATAAATGATTGTTGATTTTTACCTGCTTCGTTTACGCCACCTTGCCCTCTTTGGGGGTGTGCTTCCTTCAGTAGGGTTTGTGTCCCACCTGCCCATGGCCTGGAAGAGAAATGGAGAGATTTTTGGAAGCTTTACTTGGGTCTTTTCCCTGTAATTTCTCATAGGTTTTTAACCCCCTCGCTGTGGCCGATGCTCTCAGGGCGCTGTTTTAACCTTTGCAAACCGTTCCCAAAGCATCCTGCACATCACTGCTCTGTGGGGGACAGCTTTCTCTGAACATCTGATCCCTGCTTGCCCAGCTAATGAAAGTTCAGTCCTCTTTCTACACATGTGGGAAATAATTCAAAACAAATTGCAGGAAGTTCCTGAACACCGATTCCAGGAAGACGTCCAGCTGTGCCCCCAGGCAGTGCTGGGATGGGTTGTCTCAGGTTTGCCTCTCTGAGGTGATGAGGTGATGTGGCAGTAGATGAGTTTTGAGTCCTTCATGGCTTGGTGGACTCTAAGGCATATTTTGAAAGGGAATGGGAGAAGTGAGGCCTGCTGATGGCAGTTGAGCTCTGGGGGGTGTGAAGAGGCATGGATTTGGCTGGGGAAAGCTCCCCTATTCCCCAGCCAACAGCAGAAAGTAAAAATTTGTGTTTGTGTTCTTTCAGGGTGTTTCAGCAGTGCCCTTTTCTAAACAACCCAAAATTAAACTCTGCCTAAAGATAGTACCCGTGGACTAGGACCAAAGGGAACACAATTCAGTTGAAATCAAAACAATAAGTGATCTGGAGAAAAAGTAACATGTAAAGGAGGCCAAGCTGCGTCAGCTGCAAGGAAAAGGAAGAAAGTCTTGGGAAAAATAAACGTAGAGGCTGCCATGCCTGCTGCCAATTATAAATCTATTAATCAAAAACAATAAAAATGTCGGGCTTTTTTGGCCAGTTGCAACATGACATGATTTATGGCTCCTCTAATAAATCTCGTGCTTGAAGAGGAGGAATTCTGAGGGCAGAAAGACTCATTGCTTATTGCCACCTTATTAAAACCAGAGCACAGGGCTCAGCTTCCTGGTCTGCACCTAGTAAATCCCTCTGCTTCACGCCAAGAAATTTCACATCCCTTTCTGTCCAGGGAGAGCCAGGCCTGCGGGAGGAAGGTGGGATAGGGATGGGGTGAGAGGATCTGTGTGCCTCTTCAGAGGAGTAGCTGAACCATTCCCATGAAAGGGAGTTTACATCTTGTCCGGCTGCTTTTCATGCAAGGAGGTGGAGGTGTTTGAAAGCCATGGATGAAGCTTCACAACTCACTGGTGAGAGAGATGAGAGTTATTGGAGTGATAAATCTGGTGAGATGGCTTGTCCCAGCCTGTGTGTACCTGGGGATGGAGCTGACAGCTTGTACCGGGTGTCCTGTTCCTGTGACGAGGTTCCTGGTTGGAGTGGGCTTGGCATGGCAGGTGTGAACCACATTGCTTGCTCTGCACAGCCAGATCCTGCTGGCTGCTGTGCAAAACACAAGCTGCCCACAGAGTGAGCTTGGTGCAAAGCTGTAGCCAGAGAAAAGCAGTGGTTTGTCTCAGCATGGCCACCTCGTTGGTCCAGAGGGCACTACATGAGTTTTGTGGCTGAGCACACAGTCCCTTTTTCAGTGCTGGTCCCTTTGTGCTGTGTTCAGGCCCTGCAGTGCCTTATCCACTTCTGCAGGGAAGTGGTGGACTCACCAGCCCTGGGAGTGTTCAAACACTGTGTAGGTGTAGTGCTTGGGGACATGGTTTAGTGGTTGGCTTGCAGTGGGTTAATGGTTGGACTTGATGATCTTAGAGGTCTTTAACAACCTAAATGATTCTATGATCCAGAGGGTAACTGCAGGGGTCCTGTTAGTCTCCTCTTAGGGGTTGAGGAGTGGCAGAGCGCCAGGTGAAATCTGTGCAGACAGAGAGCAAATACAACTAGACAGCAGACCTGTGCCCACCAGAGCGGTTTCTGATGGGGCCAGCAGAGATAAATCCAATTTATCTCATCTGTTGATGGGGGCAGGCATGGCCCAGTGGGGACCAGTTTGGATAAGACCTGTGGCAAAGCTCAGCTCTCTAGATTTGGGAATTGCCTGCAGCTGTTCAGCTGTACCCTCCCCCAGAAGGGAGCCTTGGGGGGAGCGTGAATTGGAGAGGCCACAGGTACAGGTGGGAATGGGAAAGTGGAGGAAGCAGGGCCAGGATTCTTGGAAGTGATGCTTAGTAATAGGGGTTGCCAGGGATGCAGCTTCTGGATAACTCAGTTATCAGCTCCTGTTTGTGTAATAGGGGTGTCTCGAGCGGGCTGTTCTGGAAATGAGTGTCTGCCACTGCTCCCGTAATGAGGCCGCCTAATTCGGCAGGAGAGGGATGGTGTGTGCTTAGGGAGCGATGCTGCTCCATAGGATTTACCCTATCAGTGCTCTGTCCATACATGCCTCGTACAAATTACTCTGTTTTAAAGCTGTCATTATGATAATAGACCCAATTGCTGTCTAGTAAAGCCATAAAATGTTTCCATCTGCCTGTGTGCTCCAGGCTCCTTAGCAAAGCTCATTACAGCCAGAGTTCCTGCAGCCGGAGGTTTCCCTGTGCAGCACGAGTAGCCAGGCACAGGCCGGGAGCAGGGAGCTCCTGAGCAGTCAGGCCTCACCAGGAATTACACCTTGTCCTGCTGTGGACATGCTCCTGGGCAGGGACCATGCAGTGTTTGGAAAAGCCAAGGGCAGCGTCCCTGCAGAGCTCAGCCGGACTGAGGGCAGTGCATCCAGGTGGGGGGGATGCCGGACAGGTTCAAGCCTGATGTTTAATCCTTGCTTGCCACAAAGGAAGTAGCCTGTAATCCTCTGGGGTAATACACTGGCCTATCCCGAAATTGTTGAACCAACTAGGAGCTTAGATGTGTCAAGCAATTGGCTTCTCATGAGTTTCCTGTTCATTTCCCAGAACTGTTAGGATCAGGCACCTAAAAATTGTGGCGGCTGAAAGCACCACAAGTTGAGTATTGCTGCTCTATCCCAGCTGGACCCTGTGTGTTACTGGGAGTGGGCTGCTGTGGTGAGCAGGGCTGTCTCTGCAGTGGGGTTGCCCCTGGCAGAGAGAGGAGGTCCCTCTGCCCCGGCTGGATGCGGGCAGCAGAGGATGGGATGCTTCCCATCTGTCTGCAGCCCTTTGTGTGGATGTGTCTGAGCTCCTGCCACAAAGACCTCCTGCCCTTTCCTTCTGCACCTGCGGAGTGTGGAGAGGGGTTAAAAATCCCAAGCCTTGGGAGTCCTGTGTTAGGGAAGTCCAGACAGATTTCCTTCAGAGAGCAGTGGGGTGGGATTTAAGAAACCAGCGAGACAGAGTTTTTCTTGGCTTTGTTTTCCGAAGCCGGCCGAGCACCACCAGCAGCCACCTTTCCTTTGCCTTCAGCTTGTTCGCAGGTGTTGTCCCACGGATGGCAGCCATCAGCCTGGGAGGCTTCATCTTCCTGGGGACATACGAGAAGACTCGCCAGCTGCTGCTCTGAGCCAGCCCGGCCGGTCCCGCCGGTGGCCACCGAGGAGCTGGAGAAGCCGCAGGAGGAGTCGGGCAGCGAGCACAGCCTTCCTCCCGCCACAGCAGCTGTCCCGCAGGCTGAGAGCCACTCTCGCTGTTAGAGGGAAGCAAATCCTCCAATAATCCAATTTCCCAAACATGAAATTTTCCTGCATGGAAAGTGAGTGAGGTCACTGCGAGAGTTGTGCCAGAAAAGTAATGTTTTGGGGGGGGTAAACAGCTAATTACGGTGGCTGCGAAAGGCGTTATTAGAACTCCTGCAGGGCAAGTGTTTTGGAAACCTCCAGCTCGGGGGCTGAGCTGGGAGGCTGAAATAAAGCAAGTTTTCATCATTCAGTGGCACCTGCCTCGTAACGTGGGGAGGGGAAGGGGCTGATAGAGTTACAGCCTTGCTGCCCTCCAACAGCACCAAAAGTATTCTGGGTTGGGAGAGCTCTTTGTAAAAGACAATCATCCATTTGTTTCTGATTTGAGCTGTATTTGTGGAAGTTTATATTCCTGTTTATACCTACAGGTGCTCAGCAAGCATTCCTGTGTGGGAGCCAGTGCAGCTTTATTAATCAGACTCACATTTCTCCAGTAAAAGCACAGGCTTGTATTATTTTACAGCTGTGCTTTTGCAAAGACATGGAGCTCTGCCTTCTTTTGGTCTTCATCCCTCAGCAGCTGAAGGAGCAGGAGGTTCAAGTGCTGAAGCCCAGGAGGAAGCCTGGGAAGGCAAGGCAGGGAGAACACAGGAGTTCTCCTGCTATGGATCCTGAGGGCTCTCAGGGGGCTGCTGGCAGGCAGAGCAAAACTCTGCTGCAGTTCTCATGTAGGAAACAGAAGCTGTAGCGGCCAAAATGGTGCAGGGACTATCATGGTGAAAAGACCTTACTGGAGTTACTCAAAATCATTACCAGCATCAGGGCTGAGCTCCCAGTTTACAGCAGCTTGGCTGAGTGGTGCTGTGGAGTGGGTTGGCGTGGGGTTCTCTGGGTGGGCAAAGCCAAGGGCTGCGGGAGCACCAAAAAGCCCCTCCCTGGGCTGCGCCAGCGCGGTGGGTGACGGGGCTGGGACAGGCAGTGGTGTCTCAAACCTTGCTCTGGGTTTGGCTGTGGTGCTGGGAAGCTCCTCACGCGGGGTGAGCAGGTGGGAGCTGGCACGTGTGGGCTGAGCCCTGCTGGGTGAGCGGGGCAGCCGTCGGGCTTGTGCCTGCTCTGCTCCGTCCTGGACATCCCAGCACGGATGTACCAGGGGTGATGTGCTCCCCTGGAGTGCTGTAATTTAAGTTTGAGATTGTTTGCCTCATGAGGGTGATATACAGGTAGGTGGAGGAACAAATGCCAAACCAGGTTAGTGCATGACCAGCGAGCACGTGCGACCCAACCCGGCCCAGCATGACTAAGGCTGTCATGCCATGACATAGTAATGAAACTTTTCAGAGGCCAAAAACTTAGAAAATAATTGGCAGACAAGTAAAACATACAGAACAAAGGACTTAATTCTTAAAAATAATCTTCAGTTAAAATGGGGAATTTCAGCCAAGTCCCGTATTGGCTGGTTGTTAACGCTACCCGTTACCAGGGCTCGGTGTAGCTGTTCCTGCCACTTGGAGGTTGTCTCTCTTTTATGACATTCTATATATGCAACAGAGCCAATTTTAGGGGCTGGGGGAGGGAGGAGATTTATTGCTCTGTCTCAAAATCTAACTTATATTTGCTCTTTAAACATGGTGACGGGGTTAGCAGTGCGGTTGATGCATTTAATTACTTGCGCTCTAAATAATCATCTTTAGTAAAGTCATTGGGTCGCGATGCATTTTTTTGTTGTTTTTATTAAACATTGCATAATCAGTTTTTGTCATCACCATTTTGGATTTATTTTTTTTAATTTAGGAAAAAAACCCCAACATATGCCAAACAACGAGCCAAATTGTTTTAACCAGCCTAATGGTGGGAGGAGATGCACCCCCAGTGCTTTTTATTCTCCTGTGCTGATGGATCAGCTCCACATCCCAGATTGCTGTGGGAAGGCCAAAGGTACCCAGGAACAGCACCAGGCAAGTGAGAGCCCCAGCAGGTGGCCAGGGCTGTTCTGCATGTACCAATTTTTCTAGTCCTGATAAAAAGTTTTTTAGTTTTGGGAGTATGGGTGGGAAAAACAGACCTAAAAATGCAGGGTTTTTTCCCTTTGCCTTGAGTTTTAGCAATGTTTTTTTTTCAAGTTTAGCAAAATTGTAAAAATTAATTTTAGCCCATTACTGGAATGAAGTAGGATAACACTTGAATCTCAGACCAGGCACCAGCCTCCTAAAGGCTCTTTCTTTTCCATTTTAAAAAAATTTAACTCTTACATATGTTAAGGGACTTTGAGTAGTCTCAACCTGCGTTGTACCCAAATTTATAATTTGGAGGAGGAAATACTTTTATTATTTTTTAAAAATGTACAGAGACTGAATTGAGATTTTTAGTTAAAGCAGGAATTCAGGCTTATCTCCAAAGTTGCCGCTGGAATTTCCATCCAGGGTGGGGCTGGGGTTTGGGAACACCAGAGGTGTTCACAGCTGCAGCTGGGCCTGGTGCTGTCCTGGCCCTGTTTTTACTTACACACACACTCACACCCCCCCATCTGTTCTGTTCTCAGTGCCAAGATAAGGGGGATTTGCCAGATACTAAAGCAAGCTGATATACTGGAAATCTATTTCGTACGAGTTCTTTGTTCTGTCTTTCAACCCAGCCCCCAAATTCCACCCCATCCACCCACACCAGGCTGCCAGAGCCTCACGCTGTTGCACAGTATCTCACGGTCCAATTTCAGGAGCGGGTACACTGGCAGTTGGTTTGCATTTTCACCAGAGAAAGACAGAGAAGAGTATAGCAATGGATTAGAATTTTATTTCATTTTCAACTGAAACTCCCAAAAGCTCACTCTCAACAAAACAGCTGTAATATTATAAATGAACCTTTATTAAAGACACTTCAATGCCATTTGTTAGACACTTCAATATCTTACATGTTTTTCAATGTACAACATTGTACCAAATTTTCTAATAAATAAATAACTTTGTACACAAAAGTAATACTTCCTCTTTCACATTGCCTCTTAGAAGCAGCAAATTCACATATTTAGTGGAAGTCATAACATTAGGCAGTTAACTTTATTCAGAAACATTATTTTCAAATGTTAACGTGGCAAATATGCTTTTGTATCCGCAATGGTGATGACATTTCCGCCAGCAAAATGAATCCACTGTATCATTCCCATCTTCCCTGTGTCCCTGGTTCCATGAGCCGGTTCTGGAGCACTTTTCCCTTCGGCAAAGGGAAAACTATGCTCGGTTTATAATTTTCTAACATCCATTTCCTTTGCTTTGAATAAACTTGGCACTCAACATAATTCACCACCTGTCTCAAAGTGCAAACGTGTCAATAGTCAGGAACTGGTACAGACAGGTACTGGCTGAATTACGCCTCGATTCATCCAGGGGCAGCTGCTGCTCTGCACTGACACTCTCAGCAGCTGCTGGGCACAGAGGTGAGGTCCTTCCCTCAAGGTAAGGCTGGGCAGGACCAGCTTCTAATAACACCAAGGGGCACCTTGCATCCCTGGAAGCCCACAGGTGTGGCAGCACTTAGGCAGACCTGAACTGAAAGTTAAGTGTTTCTGTCCTTGTCTCTGATGCTTGTTTTGAGCCCCAGTCCCAGCAAAGGTGGATTCCCACCAGACTCGCCCTCAGTGGAACTGGCATTTGAGTTGCTCCTAAGGAAAAAAGTAACAAACCCCCCTAATAAACCTTCCCCCAAGTAGTCATCACCAGAGTTAGGAACCTCATGTTAGCAGAACTCAAATCACAAAGAACTGGGAGTCCTCCATCCACAGGTCATGACGCCAATGGAAAGCAGCCCTTCTATAAATAAAAGCGTCACAGTGAAGTCAGAAGTGACAAAGATCTGTTTGACTGAGGTGGGTATTTCTTTATCCCCCACAATTAATGGATGAACTTAAAAGACCACATAAAAATATTTGGGACATTGCCATTTAACAGTCTATTCAACCATAAATGCACGGTTCTCCTTCTAAATGAGTGTATTTCTGACTAGCCCAGAATTGCTACACGAGGCAGCATAACTCACTTGAAGGTGACATTTTCATAATACAGAGTCTGGCTGCAGATGGGGCCAGTGGTGTTCAACTACAAAGTGTAATATTGTGTTGCAGGGGGAAAAAAGCATCGTATGAATTCATGGTACAGCTGTCCCCTTAGGAGTGCGATTTAGTTTTGTTGACAAAACAGCTCTATGGTTTCCAACCCCCTCCAGAACAGATGTATTTTTTGGGTGTGAAAATGCATTATACTGGCACGAGTTACTCCCTCTAAGCAGGGCAAGGCTGGATCGTTACAGGCACCTCAGGCAGGTAAAGCTGGATCCTCTGGGAGCGAGTGTTGTGGTGATCAGTGCTGTGACAGCTCACATGGCAGGTAACACCTTCTGTGATGATGTTTTTGAAAGGTGCACTGTGTGAGACCACCCCTGGTTTACTGCACAAGTTATTTATTTTGGTAACGACTGCTTCCTAGCCATGACAGCCTTTTCCTCTGGTTGTTTTGGGGCTCCACACTGTTGCTGAGTTATTTAGTGCCTCTTGTGTGGTCCACTCTAACATCTCACACAGTCACAGTTCAAATACTAATTTTTATGCAGTTTTGAAAAATAAAGGAATTTAAGTTCTTCCACCAACAGGAAAATATCAGGTTGCTATGTAATTTCCCACTGCTTTTTTTCCTTATAAACTTCATTTGAAACAGTTGAAGATCTCTGTTTAAATGTGTTAAGTGCAATAAATTTCAAAGGGGAAGGAAATTTGTGCTAAGTAACCCAATTGATATTTAGAATCATGCACATGCACATGGCTGGCTCGTGTCCAGCCTCTCATCCACCAATACAAGTCTCTCTCCACAGGGCTGCTCTTGGTCACTTCTCTGCCCAACCTCTACCTGGGATTGCCCCAGCCCAGGTGTACTTGATGTAAAGGATCTTCCATTGAAAAGAGGACAGTCCCTTTGGAACAGTCTGGCTTTTTAAAGTTCGGTTTATGCATTTAAGGCACCAGAATTATTTCTCTCACAAAGTTTAACAGCAACCTGATACTGAAAACAATATTGCCAAAATTGTAAAATTTCACTCAGTTTTCCATGCACTAAAGATTAAAATAGCCTCTGTAAAAGATATATATATATTTATATATATATATTTATATATGAAAACTCTTATGTACAATTGTATCAAATACTTTTCTCTTTACACAATAATCCCTTGCATTTATGTGCTTCATATGCAAGTTGACTTTTGAACACTTCATACTTCTCAGGGAAGTTTTAAACTATGTACAATCAGATGACGCTCGAACAGGAGTTTGTTCCCCATACAAGCTTGTTTCTCATACCTCAGTCGGTTGCCTTTGACAGGTCATCAGTTCGAGATTCGAGGTAGAAGTAAGTAGCCTATATACTCTGTGCAAAAAAAAAAAATTTAAAAAAAAAAAAAAGATAGTGTGTTTGTTAATTTGCACCGTCAGTCTGTGCTCTCAGTCCGGCGACCTGGTCGGTGGCTTGGGCTCGTGAGCGGAGTCACAGGGCTGGGCTCCGCTGGGCAGCAGGACCTGCTCCACCTCTGCTTCACCCTGCAGGTCCAGTAGTGCTGGGGGCATCTCAGGAAGCACATTCAGTTGCTTTAATGACCCTCCTGCTGGTGAAGCTCTCACCAAATTAAGGTTGTTAAGCTCTGAAGGCTTTGCTGCTGCCTGTGAAGAGCCTGCAAAAACCCAAAGGACAGCGGGGTCAGCTGATGCTCAGCCTGCCAGCACTCATCCTCCGTGACCCTGGAGGTCTTTTCCAGCCTTAGTGACTCTATAATTCTGTTTATGATAAAACCAACCCCGCTGCTATCATTCACCCCCCGGCTCAGTTAAAAAGGCTGATGGGAGCACACAGGGCCCTGCTGTAACCCTGCCACTGCATTTGGGGAGCAGAACGGACGCCCAAGGCAGCACATACCGTGTGTGTCTGTGAGCAGCGGGCTGGCCGAGCTCACAGGCCTTATCCTGTCGTGGTTGCTGGGGTAGAGGGTCCCGTCTGTTTCCACCCTCTTGCCGCTGGCAATCCCGTTGCAGGGCTGAGGATGAAGAAGGCTGGTGCCTGCACCCCTCTTCCTATTCCGTTCCTTGCTGCTCAGTGCGTTGGGGTGGGGGTTTTCCACAGTCTTAAGGCTCTCGGGGTAGTACTCGGAGTCCCTGGGGTAAATGTGGACGTTCATGCTGTCCGTGCTGCTGCTGCAGTCCGTGCACACCACGGGCAGCCCGTAGCCTGTGGGGGAGGAAGGGAAAACGGCAACGAACCGAGATCAGCAGCTGGAAGTGGTCAGCACTGGAGCACACAACTTGCGGATGGAAAGGGCAGCTCTGTTTAATTTTGGGGTGGGAATCTCTCAGTAACACAGACACTTCCTGGTTTTACACAGGGCTGCCACACACCTGCTTCTCAGAACTCTGTAGCCATCATCACTAAAGGCAGTTTTAACTAAAAGGCTTAGCTGGTTGGGGTTTTTTACTTCAAAGAATTTGTGACTTAAAAAAAAAATAAAACAACAACAAACTTGTGCACTTATTTCCTTTCCCAAGCCTTTTAGTCAGGGTAGAAATGCAAAGTGGAACTTTCTCTCTACCTGCTTTAAAATACCAAGTTCACCTTTCTCATTGGTCCTTTACAGGGATGACCATCAACTCGCACTGTTATCTCAAGGTATGCTATTACTGTTAGTGGGAACAAAAGATGAGCTGAAATCAAAGCAGTTGCAAGCAGGAAGGAGTTGCTAAATGTTGGAAGTTAATTTCCCCAGTGCACTCAACAACTTTCCATTATTAAACTTTATAGTTTCTCCTGGAGAGAAAATTTGTTTCACTGGTTCTTTTTGTGTGGCTGTAACAATACAGCACGGGAACAGAAAACACATCCTAAAAATAGAAAACTATGAGTGTAACACCCAAGAAACTGGTAAAGAGCAGAGGCAGGTGTAGTGCCCAAAACAACCTTTAAATTTTGAAAATAAATGAATTAAAATGAGGCTGAGCTTTGAAGCTGACAGCCTCTTTCAAAGAGCGTGAAAAAATTAACACTTTCAGTTTGAAAGCACTCTCACATTTTAGGAATATTTCAAATCAAAATTCCCATCAGCCAGCTGCAAGGAATGGTGATCATGAGCTTTAGTCTGTCTCTTTCTGATGGTTCCTCAAATTCCAACTATCCAAGCTTGAGAGAGGATCAAAGCAAGCAGGAGAAAGTAAATTTACTGTGCTCGCACCTGAGAATCATTCTGGGCTTTTTTTTTCTCTGAAGGTAAAAATTTCTCGTGTTAATTCTGTCTGACTTGGAGGGCTTTCTGATCTGTACAAACACGAAATGCCTTCCCAGATTAATGGGTTTTGTACCTGTCTTATCTGGAACAAGCATTCCATCAGCCATGTCTTCAGTTTTCCAAGTGTCTTTATTATAGCTGATACACAGCTTGGGCTGTCTGCAACCTACAGCGGGAGCTTCAACATCTGGACACCTTCCAGCATCAGTCTGACACATACCTGTAGCAAACAAACCAGCTGGTTAAAGAATACAGCCATCTGCTCCCAGTTAAATGACTTGTTAGTCTTATTTCTACTGCAAAAGGGAGAAAAAATAGCAGTGGAGATAATAGATAATTTTCAGATAACGTTTAAAAGAATAAATGCTGTAAAATCTCAGGAGAATCTCAGTTCAGAACGCTTAACTCCTCCTTCCTAACGTGCTGTGTTTAAATACTGTAAAACCCCAACATTTAATTTCTGAGCCTGAAGGCAGGGACAGGCAATGTTAATGTATTTTCTAGTAGAGCTTAACTACGGGTAAATCTGACGCCAAAAAACTAATCCAAAATTAGCAAAAAAATAGTCCTTAGGGCCTGACTGAGCAGTTTCTGAGGCAGCCTGCTTGCAGGAACACTTACTCCTGGGAGAGGAGAGCTCTGTGAAATCAAAGACATCCCTGCTCTGCATAAGTGCAGGAGCCAGAGAACTGCGTTATGAAGATCTCTCAGATAACTCACAAGTATTTTGGGCTGCAATTTCCACCTCCCCATTTCAAGTCCAGGTACAGCACTGCAGAAGGAACAGTGAAAGCCTTTCTCACCGTTGCTGTCGATGTGCCCGTTGGGCTGCTGGGTGTCCACTCTGATGGCCACGTCCTGCCGGTCCGACAGAGTCCCCTGGGAGGACAGGTAGCTTGGCACGTCAGGAGGCACAATAGTCTCATCTGGAGCAGTGGGGGCACAGAAATGTTAGTTCCCAGTAAGATTTTTTTCAAAGGCAAATAAAATCACGTTTCTAAGAGAAATTTGGGACCAGATCTAGAACCGGTATTTTCTGTAGACGCCATGGAAACTGAGCTGCCTAAGTACTCTTCTCCCATTCCTGGTTTGTAAAAGCTTAAAAGCTGTGAGAGATAGTGCTGATAAAGGCAATTTGAGTATCTGACCATTTGGCATGGTCAGTACAAGGTAGGTGAAGTAGAACTGTTTCTTCAGACCAAGTAAATCCTTCCCTTTCCCCTGAAAATCAGAGTCCCTCCTTTGACTCAAGTCCTCTGTCTCCTGAAGTCAGGAGTAAAAGGAGTCTGGAGAACAGGATCATAGATTCACTTAAGCAGGCAAATAAGTCTTAAGCCTCTTGGCTGTCCTTGGCTCTCTCCACTTTCCATGAGGCAATTTCAGTTTCCCGTGTCACACAAATCCAAGTGGAACTCAATTACACCAGGCATAAAGCCCTACATTTTCAGGACTGAAAAAAGTAGTTAAAAAAGAATCCCACTGATACATCACACTGCTGTTAGGGTATCCAAGCAGCCTACCTTAGCTTATGTCTTTAAAATCCTGTCACACTCTATTCTAAAGCTAAGCATAATACAGGAAGACTGCAAATCCCAGCAGAGTGGGAAAGTCTTAGGCTGCTTCTTCCATACTTCTGTTCTGTTCAGAGGCTGCATAACATTGAGGGCAGGAGACTTTATTGCCACTGCAACACTTATTTCAGCACCAGATTATCCCTTCTGCCTATCAGGAGGAAGCAATAAACACTACTTCTTCCTTTAAAAAGTAACAGATACCCCACATCAGCAGGGCTACAACAGCTCTTACAGCCAACATGGAAAATGGGATTCCAGCTTCAAAGTCTTAATTTTTCAAGTTTTGAATTTGAAGTCTTTGAAAATACAAATTCCCAAGAAGTAAGACCGGTTCTGAGCATCACAGACATAATCCAGACTGTCTCAAGAGTTATCATTTATGGTCACGGAAAAATCAAAGTAGCAAAGCAATGGCTGGAACTACTGCCAAGTGGAAAAGACCTTCCTGAAGAGGAAGCCAAGGGGAGAAATGCAGCTCTGAACCTGCTTCAGCAGCAAGTGAAAGCTGGCTCCAGCTCTGTAAGCCAAGAGAACCAGAGACAAGGCAACTGCTGCTCCAGCGTGGTTGTGTGGCTCCCTGACGGGTGACTGACCCTCAGTGGAACATTTGACAGCACGAAAGGCCAGAGGAAGCCTCAGCAGGAGACTGGAGCTACCTGTGTTGGTGACGCTGTATTCTTCACTCTTCTTCCTGGTTTGGTAGATGATGCAGACCCAGACCAGGGAGGTGAGCACGATGCTGCACACCACGGCGATGGTGATGATCCCCACCGTGGTCCGGTCCTTCCTGCAGCCCAGGGACTGCAGGATGCTCACGTGGCTGTGCGCGCGCTCCGTCCCCAGGGTGTTGGACATCTCACAGGTGTACTTCCCAGCATCCTCCAAGACAACATTCCTAATAATCAGCAACTGGTTGCCAGAGGTGAAGTGGTGCCTTTCTGTCACGACCAGGGGCTGGTCACCTTTCAGCCAGGTGATGCGGGGCGGGGGGCTCCCCGTGGCTTTGCACTGGAGAGCCACGGTCTCACCCACGGACACCACGTGATCTTCCAAGGGATGAACCAAGGATGGTGTCTCTGCAGGAGAACAAACACAGAAATTAGCTCTTGGGGACGGTGTAACAACAGATTTGACAGCACTGAATATTCCTGATGACCCTGCAGACACAGCAATGCACGAGGCAGGCAAATGCCCAGGAGCATGGCAGCTGCAAACCACGACAGATCCAACAACCACAACCGAGGCCTCACTTCCCATAACCAGTTGGTGTTTTAGTCTTCCCAAAAAGGAACCCCTGAGGACAAGGGCCAACAGCTGACATGAATTATTTCATAGTATGAGAGAGATGGAAGGTGATTTCCTTTTGAAGGATTTCCCAAACAGCAAACAGGCTGGTTGGAGGGGCTCCCTCAGCACAAGAGGAAATGCGACTTACTGCTCCTTCTTTTAATTAACTTCATTAGTTAACTACAGTGTAAAAGAATGAAACAAGACAGAACACGGATTCTGTCTCTTTTCTGTATCTTGCAACTGGCAGAGCACCTGACCAGCCATCCCTCCCAGCTCCCCATTCCAGGCCGCTTGTGCTCCAGGGGCCCTGACTTACCCAGGACGGTCAGGGTGGCGTTGGCGAGCACGGAGCCCGCCGAGTTCTGTGCCGTGCAGCTGTAGACACCCATGTCCTCGATCTTCACATCCGTGATGAAGAAGACGTCATCGTCAGGCATGACGTGCATGCGGCGCTCCCGGGCCGCGGGGAAGTCGGTGCCGCCGTCCTTCTGCCAGGCGATCTGCGGCGTGGGGTGTCCCTCGGCCGCGCACTCCAGCCGCGCCGTCGTCCCCGTCCGGCTCGTGATGTCGTGGGGAGTTTTGATAAATGAGGGCAACACTGGTGTAAAGGAAAACAAGGAAAAGGATGAGCAATCCCATGGGGGAAAACACCATCTTCTGCACGGTTCTGTTTTCTGTCTGCAGAGTCCATGACCAGCCCCGTTCAGATCACTGGAGCTTGGATCAAAACCAATTTTCTTCTGTGATTACCCTGGGAAATAAAGCTATTATCTTTCCTACAGAGAACTTCCAACCACAACATCCCTCTTCTTTGTATCCTTCTGTATTTCCATTGGCTGTTTTCGTTTTCATTGGCCCATTTTACTGGGCAAAGACTCCACCTGAACAGCCAAAGAGCAGCATCTAAAGTTGTTAAGAATGTGCTGAAGTGCTTGGCTGGGTGGCAGCCATCCCAAACCCAGCGTGTGCTCCTCACAGGGCGCTTCTCACAATCCACTGAGCTACAAGCAGCTGCTGTGAAGAGGTTATGGAATGGACCCTCGGGAATAACTACCCACCAGAAAAGAGTCCCAAGGAATTGTACCGTGTACCAGCTCAGGCTGAGAAAAGGAATGAGAAAGCAGCTTCCCACTCACCATTAACAGTGAGCCGGGCCTTGTTGGAGTAGGTGGAGCCGAAGTGGTTGGTGATGATGCACTGGTAGCGCCCCTCGTGCGCGAAGGTGACGTGCCGGAGGTGCAGGATGGTGGTGCACTCCATCACCTCCCCGTCCTTCGCCCGCACGTGGGCAAAGTTCTCGATCTCGGCGTTGTGCAGCATCTCGTTGTCCTTCTTCCAGGCAAACATCATGGGGGAGCTGCTGCTGCTGGCTGCCAGGCAGGTGAACCTGATGTCCTTCCCAAGGACTGCCACTGTGGTCTCGGGCTGGATGATGATCTGCGGCTTGGGGAAATCATCTGAGAGGGAAAACAGCAGGAGCGGTTAGTGCTGGACTGTGAGGGAAGACTGCAGCAAGCCAAGAGATGCAATGAGAAACTGAACAGTGCCTAAGTGGAAGTTATTATTGCACATCTGCTTGTACACCCACTGTTGTACATGCACTGCTCTGTAGTGCAGGTGTGCCATGCACAACTCCACTGACGGGATGGTTTAGGTGGGACTCCTGTTCCTCTGGTTCTTTCTGTCACCAGTGGGCTCTCAGACACCTACAAGATGCCCATCTCCTTCACCAGTGTAGCAGAACCTTAGAAAGACACTATGGTCTACAGAAAATATCCTTCCTTGTACAACCCGTGCATGAAGAGCATGACTGAACTTACAACTTCACCTCCAGGTTTGCATCAGCATGAAGCAGGATGGCAGAGCAGGAGGGCACTTAGAGGGCTGCAAATGCCACCTCTAGGGAAAAATGCCCACAAGAGGTTGCAGTGAGGTAGGAATTTGTCTCTTCTCCCAGGTAAAAAGCAACAGGGCAGGAGGAAATTGCCTCAAGTTGTGCCAGGGGAGGTTTATATTAGCTAATAGGAAAAATTTGTCAAGCACCAGAACAGGCTGCCCAGGGAAGTGGCAGAATCGCCATCCCTAGAGGTATTTAAAAGACATATAGATGTGGCACTCAGGGACGTGGTTTAGAGGTGGGCTTGGCACTCGCAGGTTGACAATGATTTGCAGGTCTTTTCCAACCTGAAGGATTCTATGAATCTACACAGCCTGTGCTGTCAAGGCAGAAGCAGCTTTATTTGCCTCTGTCACACGGACAGGGTGGAAAGCTTCACACACTCTCTCTGTGCCCTGAAGACTGTTGGTTTTAGCAAGGGTCCAAGCAGATTCATTTATTAGATTTCTACAAATGGTGTAATTTAATATCTGACTAAAGTTTAATTAAACAGCCAGGCCTCTGGAACCAGGAGTATACTAGTGCCTGGAGGACTTGGCAGGCAGCGGGAAGCAAAGCTGTCTTTGCTTTGTGATGTTGCTGTGGGGATGGAGCCTTCAGGATCTCTTCTTCCAGATGAGCACAGCAAGCCTGCTCAGACAGAGGCCACCTAGGCAGAGTCCTGCCACTGGGGGATCAGGAGGGACATGGGACCACAGGTGGAACAAAGCTTCTGCTCAGTGTTCAATGCAAGTCATGCATTCAGCTTAGTTAAATAGTGTTTGCAAAAGCTCGTTTTTGCTTTAAACACCCATCTGCAGCTCCACCCATGATCCACACTGGTTGGCTCCAAAGCACAGAGTTTGGCTCCCAAACCAAGCCTTTATTTTCCCCAAAAGCTGGGTGCATGAGCAGCATCGATTTGGCCTCCTCCGATCATTTAAATTTCTTTATTAGAGAGGTAGTAGATGTTTGTGTGAGCTGGATATTAAGTAGAGCTGCTTTGCAGCCACAGGTCAGGTGCAGAGTCAACTGCAGTATTTGGGTGGGCCTTACTGGTCCAAAAAATCAGCTGTGATGAAGAGATTCTCTTCTGCTTTTTAATTCTTTGTTATTTCCAAGAGGGAGAAAAGATACGTGAAGAACACAAAGCCACAGAGCCAGGTCAGAACACTGCAGAGGGGAAAAAATTACAGCCTCAGTCTTGATAGTATCAAACTAAGAGGACTGAGGAAGTCTCTGTGCAGCCCCATCTGGAAGCGGAACAGGCATTAGTCCCTTTTGATTTAATACTCAGAGAGCCCTGCAAGGAATACACTCGATTCAAGCAATGCACTGTGTGGTTTTGGTGGGAAATAAATTGTAGCCAATGACAAATTTTTAAAATGCAGGCTTGGGCTCCCTTTGATCCCACTGAATAACAAAACAAAACAGAAACCCTCTCGTAATAACATGCTGGTAGTCAAAAGAAAATGTTTCCCAAGTGAATCCTACCCTTCATACAACCTCAAAACACGCAGGCGAGACTTACCACACACAAAACTTTCTGGCAGGATGGCAAAAATGCTCTTGCTTTTCAGTGACTCAGGATGGGCACAGGTGGCCACCACAAAGGACTGCAGCTCCTTCTCCACTAACCACTGGGGCAGCCACTTCAGCTGGCAGTCGCAGAGGAAGCTGTCGCTGTTAATGTGGCTGCAGGGAAACAAAACCAACACGAGCCTGCTGTGAGTCCTACATGCAGAGAAGGCTGGAAGGCTCACAGCCCTTTCATGTTAGACACATTCCTCCCGCCCCCCCAGCATGGGTGGAAGGGAAAAAAGGCCTGCAGGGATGTCCTCGAGGCACTAAAGATGTTAAATACATGACACATTTAAACAGCATTTCATCTCCACATAGAGCAAGCCACTCCTGTACTCCAGTGACACTCTCTAGCACCTTGTATTTATTAACCACCTTCCAGAGTGATCCCCAGGAACAGATAAATAATCTCATCCCTGGCTTAAGGGACACAAGCTGAAACAGATCATCTACAATGCAGAAATGCAACAGAGGCACAAGGCAACAGGACAACCTGTCCTGCCCTCTCACATCCCTCATTACCACACACGTTCCTCCTCTGCCTCTGTGGTTTGAGCCTCTTTGGTGGGACTAAATTCAGGACTGAACTGCTGAACAGTGAGAGGATGCTCAACTCCCACTGTAAGGCCTTGAGTTCCCTCTGTGGCCAACCCCAGGGCAGTAAGTGGAGAGATCTGCCTTCCATAAGGTGCATATTCACACACTGGCATCACCAGGGATAAGAGGTGTAGCTGGAATTGTGTTTACTGATTAACAGAAGCAGTGAAAGAGAAATAATCAAAAGTTATTTGTGTAAACCCAATAGAAACAGTCACTAGTTTGGAAAATAAAACACAAAAACATTTCTGAGTTCCACTGTCCCCCTCCAGCACCCATAGCAGGGGCTTGGAACTAGATGGAAGATCTTTAAGGTCCCTTCCAAACCACTGCATGACTCTATGATTCTATGATCCTAAAAGTAACTCAGCACCTTCTGTTAGGAAAAGAGCTGTGAAAAAAGGAGCAAAGAAAATGGGAGCCTCAGGATTAATGTGTTTTTTTAATATTCTGGGCCAAATTGTGGCATGATGGGATAAACCCTACTGGCTAGTTGGGACAGGTCACAGAGACCCTTCAGCATAATGCATTCTGCATGTATATGTCCTCTATCTGAACTTCTCCATGGTATAAACACTCCTTCACAGTATCTGGGATCTCACTAATTCTTCCCTAATAAGATCAATCTTTCACCTCAATTTTGTTCCAAGAGCCAGTGCAAAAGATAAGGTGGTTACACACACAACAGACATGCAGCGTTTATCTTACTCATTCCCAGTCCCTGGTATTAAATGTCACTGCTAACAGTGACCATCTGATTCTCATTTCCAATGTCAGGAAGAAGAACCTGTACCTGACCAAATACCAAATAAGTGATTTTGTGTTCCACAGACACTGCACTACTCCAGAGTGTAGCAATGCACTGACAGTGGATTAAATATTTATGCAGAAGAGGAGAAAAGGAAACCAGGCAAGACTGGAAACAGTATCTGATAACAGTGCAGAGCCCCGGCCTGGAGCACAAGCAGCAGCTCTGATAACACATCCGTATTTTTACACCAGAAGGCTGGATGACAAGTGGATGCAGTTCAAATGGTGCTTATCACTGAAATATCAGTCCTGTGTGTGAACCCTAAACACAGGCACGGCAAGGGAGCAGATGAGCCACTGGGAATTAAATCCATGGCAGCGTGAGGAGGATAGCTGGCTAACAGGACCAGGGCTGGACTTCCTGAGCAGACATGAATAATTGCACAGATGCAAACCTGCTGGAAGAACCTGTCCCAGTGATCTAATTTCACTCACTATTAAATGCAGGACGTTCCCATGACAGCTACTCATGTGTAAAAATACCCCTCAGAGGAGAGGATAGAGGGGAGGGGGAAATAAACGAGTGGAAATGCAGATAACACCCGTGCTACTGCTCACGTGCAGGGCAAGGAGGGTCCCTGCCTCCTGAGTGGGGTGTGCAGGGCAATCACTTACAGCTGCCGCAGGCTCTTCATCCTGGCAAAGGCGTCGGCCTGGATGGAGCGGATGGCGTTGTCCCCGAGGTTCCTGCAGGCACAACCACAGGAAACGTGAACAAAAGGGATGCTATGACTGGGACAGAGCCTCTCCACGTTTAAGCAATGACTCCAGGAGCAGCTGATTTGGTAGCTGCTTCTTAAGGCCATATGCATTTGCAGCTCACAGAAACGTTCCTCAAAACATCTTGATTTCGATTAAGTATTGGTGAACAACAGTCAGCCAACAAAGATTACAGGAATAAATCACTAAGCCATTCCCTACCCCATCTTCTCACTATGCTTTCTTAGTCTCAGCTACCTCCATCATCCAGAGCACAGAAATTCCTCAGCCCCCTCAATAACCAAAGATAGTCAGGAATGTCATACCCCAAGCTGGACCTTCAGCAAACATAAAGAAAGCAAATACTTGCTCTGAGCAACATCTGAGGAGTTATTTGAAAGTGACTACTACTGAGTCTGAAAAAAGCATCACAATGTTTCCAAAAGAAGGGATTCTTAAAAGCTTCCCTCATAACTATTGCTAATTAAAAGATTCATCTGCTCTCTGAAAAAGCACAGTGCCAGATTTAGGGCTGAAGTTTACTAAGTGACGTGCAGGGCAGACAATCACTGCTTGAAGAGGAAAATCTCAGCAGATCAATATGGGCACCTTCATTTGGGAACGTAGCCCCAGTCAGGCAGCTCTAACCTTTCAGTGTGCTCTCGATGGCCATAACATTTCATACACTCAACAGCCAATAAAACATGTAGAGCACAGCCACATATACTTTAACTGTCTTAATCCAGAAAGGAGGTTATTCATGAATCTCTGCTGGAGTCATCAGCCTTGGGATAGAGAAAAAAAAAAAATCACAGAGGCAGCCAAAATGTGCTTCTTGCAAGTGGCTCTAAGGCAGTTGTGCTGAATGGGGATGTTCAGTGCCTGGATCGTCAGCAGTCATCTGCAACATGTGTCACTGCCAGAGCCTGGATTTGGGAGGAAGTTGGGGCAAGGGAGGAGGAAAAAGGGCTACAGCTGAAACGGCGTATTTTCATTGGTAACAGCCTGCAAAGCAGCAGTGAGCAAGTCAAGGCGATACTTATCCAAGAGCAAATCAGAAAATTAAGGAGCATGCAGATTTGCCATATGTTCTATAACTTTGTTCCTGGCACAAAAAAAGGCCAAAGTTGAGGCGGACTTATAATGAGAAGGAAGCAGGTGGCCCCCACAAATGGACTGGCTTCTCAGTTTACAAAGACACTATTAAATTGCTAGCAGATCTCTCGAGCAGCTACTTTTGGCAGACCCCCCCCTTCCCAAGCTCTGAGGCATGGTGGGTTACTCACAGGTGCTCCAGGGCCTCCAACCCTGAGAACGCTTTCTTGGCCACCGACTTGATCTTGTTTCCAAACAGAGTTCTGTAGTTTCCAAACATCCAGTGCCAGGTAAACAGAAAGAAAATGGGGAGAGGGAGGCACAAAAAGAAGGAACACAATTAGTGAGGCTTTATCTGATATACGCGCCCAGTGCAAGTCCCGGGAAATCTGAACTGCACAGAGATTAAGAGGGCTGGAGCACACTCGCTTTCCTGCTCCTGAAATTAAATCCTTTTATCTGTATTTGAATTTAATAGTGATGACAGCGCAGAAGGGAATGTGCCATATCACGTAAAAAGGCAGGTTTGCTCCCGCGCTTGGAAACCAGCTTGCTGAGTAACAGAAGGTCCCCTGTATTCTTTGCAGGCTGACTGAGGACAGGATTAAGTGCAATGACAGTTTAACAAGATATTGGTCTCTCTCTGAAACACTTTTCATTTCGAACTTCTTCCCAGACAGGAAAAGAGTGGTAATTTATTCACTGCTTGGCCTGAATGGCCATTTGCACACAGGGCTGAGGGCTGGCCCTTGACTGCACGTTTACACAGCAGCTGACTGCAGGGGCTGCTGATTCCTTCCTTGGCTCATTACAAATGCAACTGCAAAATAATATAATGCAACAAAATATAGCCAAGTGGTAATTTCAAGGGGCGAAAAGTAGAAAAGGTGATGTCCAGAGCTGAGGAACGTGCCTGCTTCCATCCGTGACCAGAGAGCATTCCTCTGAATCAGCAGCAGCACGAGAGGGACTATCAGTGGGCAACAGCCAGCTGGAGAGATCCCAGCCCAGCTGCCACCTCCAAAGTAACAGTTCTCTATAAATATTGACCAGTGGTGATCGGTCAGGGGCAGGGTTCGTGCCAGATGGACAGTCTCCTCACCTGTTTTAATAAAACATCAACCACTGTCATTAATTAGAAACTGCTTTCCTTCCCCAGGCTCACTCTAAGGTTTATCCTCCACGTGCATCTCTTATCACCATCTGCTTCACATGGTGTCCAATGCTAGTCCTCAACCACACCTCAGGTAAAAAACTGGCCCATCTAGTGCTGCCTCAGATTTTGACCTTTCCTTCAAGAGTTTTCCTTCAATATAGGGTGTGACCTATCTGCAACCTACTTTATTGACAGAATCATTCTTAACATCCACAGTGAGCTTTACTGAGCTCCTGGTTACAGCACCAAACCCAAGGTTATCAGAGGTCCTGTCCATTGCATCCAAGTGCACGTGGCTGTTTGCTCTGGGTGAAATGACCCCAGCACCAAAAGATGTGTGCAATCATGTGCACCATCATTGGTAAAAGGGATGCTGCATTAATGAAGGCTTTGAAAAATCCATTAGAATGATTAATATAATAAATAATTTACTATATGCAAACGCTGGTCATATGGCTGCATCCATTTTTCCATCCACTGACTTTTGGAGCCCTGTTCCTAAATAAGGACATGATAAGCGTAATAACGGTAAGAGGAACTGGCCTCAAGTTGTGCAAGGGAATGTTTAGATCAGATATTGGGAAAAATTTACTCACAGAAGGGGTTGTAAAGCATTGTAACAGACTGCCCAGGGAAGTGGCAGTCACCATCCCTAAAGTGTTCAACGTATGTGTGGATATGACACTTGAGGACATGGTTTCATGGTGAACATGGTGGTGGTGCTGGGCTGATGGTTGGACTTGATGACCTTTCCAGTCTTAGTGATTCTATGAAAATTAGATGGGCATCTGTTGTTGAAAAAATTAAGTAGAGCTTGGGTTTGATAACTGGAGATTTCTACTGATGGTTTATGGTAGATTTTGGACTTTGAAAATTGGAGATACTGATGGTACCTGTTTACTTATTTGTGCAGAGATCTGGGGACGGCAATACACAATGTATGGTGCACTTGTGTAGGTGCATACAAATTTACAGCTGTACATGAGAAACACGAAACACTCGTAACAAGGCCAGGCCTCAGGGAACTCCTGAAACTCAGTCACACCTTCCGAATTTCAACTGTGCGCTTCTCCAAACCTGAAATGGTTTGAACCCAGCAGCCCCTTTCAAAGGGCTGTGGCAGGCTGGAATGTGAAGGTGGCAGGCTGGAATGTGAAGGCAGCAGGATGCAGCTCACAATTAGCCAGCCCACTGCCATCCCTGAGCGCTCCTCCACCGGCAGAGCCGGGCACAGCTCTCCCTGCGACTGCTCAAGTGTAATTACACGCCAGGCATGCAATTCATTAGAAGGCAGTATTTTCTCATCCTGCCAGTTTTGCACCTGCAGGAAGATCTCAGCCTCTGAGTGAGCCATCAAAAAACCGGTTGCATTCAGCAGCTTGGGTAATTAGGAACCTCGCTGTTCCCCAGTGATTCCATCGACGCTTTTTATGCTTTGGTGCTTCTCAAGTCCCGTTCTTGAAACAACATTTTAATTTAGGCCTGTGCTCTCCATCCTGGAGAGCTTCATATATAATTCAGAGAAGGCTTAAGTGACTGGCCTCCCCATCTCTGTTTAACACCTTCATGTCAGCGAACAACCCTCTCTGTGCTAAATCCTTTCAGAGGCTAATCTGTGCCAGATCAAAGGGGAACGGCTTTTAAGGCAATCTCCACAGAGCTGAGGTGATTATTAATTCATTGGAAGGTCTCCTCTGAAGTGCCCATTTATTTTTTGTATGCTAATGCATTTAAAGCCGGCTGACAGTTTAAACACAGGCCCTAAATCACACAGTGAAATGTTTGCTGTAGAGGCTGATCTTTTATTTAGGAAAAAATCCTGATCCTCACTTCAGCCTAAGAAATCACGAGGTTGGGATTTGTGTGCTGATGAGCTAAAACAGTTCTGAGATCCTTTTAAAAGTGGCCACTCCCAAGTATCCTGAAAATGCCTCAAGAAATAATAATAAAACAATCTCATATTCTGAGGGGTTTTCTAGCCTTACACTCTGGATGACAATGAGTGATCCCAGCAAGCTGTCTGTCCCACAGTAGGTTTGTTCTGTCAGGTAATCAAACCACTCCTGCCTGCCCAAAATCAACCCAATCCAAGCACTCTTCCAAGCTATGAAATGTACTGCAATCCCCCCCCAAACCTTCCCTACATGTCCTTCCCTGTGTTCAGCCAGACTCAGAGCTGGCCCAGGTCCATGTGCAATGGAAGACACAGGTCAGCATCACATAGAGAGATGCAAACCCAATTTCCTTAGTCTTGCACAAGCCCCTGCTGAATGCATCCTTTGCTTCTGGCAGCCCAAATCAGCCATCTTTTGAAGGGGCTCCCTGTGCTGATGATAAACATCCCATCAGGCCACGGCTACTTCACAGGGGAGTGATAGCTCCTCTGCCCAGAGCTCCCAACACACAACCCCACAGGCTGCCCCTGCTCCCTTCCTTCCTCCTCCTGCTCCCTGCTGTACCTCCTGGCCTCTGCCTGACCCCCACAGCTCATCAGGGCTCACTGTTCCTGGTTGCTGAGTCAATCTTTTTGCTGAACTCTTTCCTTCACTGCTGTCTCCTCTGGTTTTTTCACCTCTCTCCTGTTATCTGCCGCATCCAGCAATTCTAACACATCCCAGTCACATGGGACCACTACTTTTGCTGCCATGCCAGTGGCCATGTTGGAGGGATGCCCTACAGGGGATGTCCCACCAGGACAGCCCTCTCTCTCCACGCCTTTCTTCCACCTCCTCTCCCTTGTCAAAGCAGCACTACAGACTCACAGTCCCTGCAGCCTGCAAATTCCAGTAGACAAAGTTTCTGCCCCCATTATCCTTCTAGATACTCACATGGTTTCACTGGTTTCAAAACTGGTTCAAAAACTTCACTCAAGCAGCCAAGGACTCTTCTACCCACCACATCTGCTCCTCTGCCTTTTTTTGTAGCAACTTGTGGGAAGATTTCCCGACTCCACGTCCACAGCAATTCCTACTGGCCTCTCTATCCCACACACTACTTCCACTTCCCTGCCTGGCTCCCCTTGTCCTTAAATCCTCCTCTGCCTTCTGCCTCACTTTACTTGCAGCTACAACTTGGTTTCCCTCTCCCTGGGCCCACTGACTCCCCTCAGCAACGATCAAATGCCACCTCCGTCTGTGATTTCAAATTCTTCTTCTCTAAGCGTTACATCCCCACAAATCCTGCCATGGCTCGTCCCGCTCCCTGAGGAGCCTCTAATGAGAGCATGACAATATCCCGCCTGCCAGGATTCATTCCAGCCATCTGCTATCCATCGAGGTACTTTTACTGCACCTCTGGCTGTGCCATCCCAGCATCAGAGACAGTGGGATGGGGGGGTGCTGAGAACTTCAACAAAGGCAAGAGGTAACGATTAGAGACTCTTGATTTGTCACAAGCCATCAGAGGCTGCTCTGACAGGGCTGATTTATGTGGCCCGTTTCAAATGGAGGAGGAACTTGCACCGAGCAACGTGAAAATCCCTGCGAAGGCCGAGCAAGCCATAAACATTTGCAAGGCGCATGCTTGCCTTGGGTTTCTTTTTATCTCTTCGAGAGCCTGTGCCCCATGGTGCCTTTTATTGTCGCTGCACATGGAAGCAAGCCCAAAAGATCACTCTCAGACAGAGTATCCCACAGAAACGAATCCTGTTTCAATCCTCTGTTGTAACAGGAAGTGGGGTGATTTTTCTCTTCTGTTTATTGTTATTTGCAGCATCAATCAGTCCCTGGCCGAAGATTGCAAGGGGTCCTTTTTGTTGTTTGTTTGCTTTTAGAAGTGAGGAACAGTTGTGCTGAATTTTACAAATGAAACAACTTAAACCTCTCTCTCCTGTGTCTCTGAACTACAGTATGTGGCACCGTCTGTTCACCACTTTAAAAGGAAATAATTGCCACATACCTCCTTAGAAATGTCATTTGCACTCTTGCAGTGAGCCTGCAAAACTATCATCTCAGATTTTCTGTTGATTATCTTGTTCCAAAGGAAGCAAAGGCTGCATCAGAGGGAGCAGACCTACCCCCACACAGCCACACAACAAAACTGGTTTGCAGAATTCAAACCCAGGGATACTCACAGCTTGCTCAGGTTTTCCAGGCCTGTGAAGGCTCCACTGGTATCTTCTATCGTGCCTGAGATGTCGTTGTGGTCCAGTTCCCTGGGGAGAGGACAAGAGAGAGCCTGGAATCAGCATCTTAGTCCCGGTTTCATTGTCACAAATGGAAGAAAGTTGGAGAATGCCACATGAGGTCTTCCCATTTTCTCCTGGTGGTTATCAGAAAATGCAGAACCCTGCAGCAAAGCATTACTAATCTCTCCTCCTGCGCTGACCCATTCTGGGATGGTTCATTCAAAAAATACTCCTGGCTTATTCTTAGCTGAAACCCTCTGAGACAGAAACAGGAGCAGACAGATACTCTTTAACAAGTAACTTCAGCCCTCTCGTAGTTTTGTGCATCCAAACAGAAAGAGGAAAATGAAAATAAAGTGCCAAAACTAAACTGAAATAAACAGCTGTCCTTGAATGATACACTTTGTCTATTCCAGTGCATACATGTATTTGTCTGCAGCTGCATCTTAACAAGATGTTTTGGTGTTATTTACTATAAAGCTGCATTCTTTCTGGCAAAGAACTTGAAAACTCAACATAGGAAAGCACCAGCATCCCTACAACACCCTAACTCTCTGTATAACCAGATTTTAAAAAAAAAACCAAAACCAACAAAACAAATAAGAATTCCTTTTTCAGAATTAGCTTCTTTTGGCTTTCGAATTGGTCATCAATTACAAGAGTCAAAGAGCTCTGAAGAAAAACAAGCACAGAGAACAAACACAGAGATCCACAAAAGCTGTTTAAACAGTGTGTTTAAAAATCCTTCTCTCCTAGCTTTAATTCCAGCTAGCAATGAATACCCAGCAACACAGACAGAAATTCATCATTTCCAATGTTAAGTAAAAAGAAAGAAAAACCAAATAGGCTTTGTTGGTTTTGTTACATCACTCTGATTTAAAACCTGGCAAAACCCAACACCAAAGCAAACTTCATTATCCAGATAACCCCCGAACCCTCAGGTACTCCTTTTGCACCTTTTGAAGATTATTATCAGAACATTTCCAGATAAAAAAAATATTAAGACCAAAAAAAGAAAAAAAAACAATCCCCCCTGCATTTTGCAACACTTCACATAGGCATTACAGTGCAGATTCTGGGCTCTGCAGCACAAATACACAGTAACTCACAAGAGGGGAAAAGAAATTTAAAAATTAAAAAAAGACAGTTATAGTAAGGGCATGGTTTTCCTCAGCTGAGATGGAGCTTTTTGCTCCCAGTACCTCAGCTGGCTGCAGTCTTCGCTCCTTTCTCGGCTTTGGTGTAAGAACTAAAGGCGTGAAGGGAGATGGCCAAAAGCCACAATTCCTGTTCCTCAGCTGCCTTCAGCCTGAGACCTGAATCCCCCGTCCCTAGGGAACCCTGGCCTTAGCCAGCAGCACTGTGGATGTCAGGGTGATCTGTGGGTTGCTCTGTGCCAAAGGGAAGGATAAAAACTCAACGTCCCCACGGGGTGTGGGCGCACAGAATGCTGTGGTGGCACAAGAGACAAGTCCAGGAGAGACGCTTTGATGTGATGGCATTTCCAGCACTATTCGAGTGGGACAGGAGCAAATACATCCTCCTGGAGCTGAGTTTCTACATTCTCTCTATGGTTGCCAAGCCAGTGTCCCTTGTTCTGTTTGTTTTTTAAGGGAAAATCCCTTCTCAGACATTTCTCCTCTTCAGTTTCACCACGGGCTACTGGTCTTTGGAGCTTCAAACCCTTTCCCATGGCAGAGACAGACAAGTGGGAACAGCCTGTAGGAGCTCTGACACACACTTTTATTAATTGACTGCCACACATTGTGTTTTCTTGAAAAAGGGGAAGAAAATGGTATTGCTTGTTCATCCAAAGGCAACTCAAAGGTTTAGTGTTAGAAAGGAGGAATAAAAACCTTTTTAACAAATGAGTGAAAATAGAGAGAGGGGAAAAAAAAAGAGTGGGGTATTTTGGCCCAGCTTTCTTTGTATTCCAACTCCTCTCCCAGCCCCTGTTGCCAATTTCCTATTCTTTCTGGCTGGCTGAGCTTGAATGCTCGCAGCCTTGTTAATCATTGTGCTCCGAGGTCTCCGGGCCTGACCTCTATTTGAATAGCTCCACATTTCAGCAGTTTCACACCCACCAAAGGCTCCCCAACAATAGCCCATAATTAAAGCATGCTCGGCTCTTTTTCACCAGGTGCAGGACCCAATAGGCCTTTCTCTTTATTAAATTAGAGCTCGCTCACACACTCCCTCCCCGCCTCCCCCCTCTGCCCGGGACATAAAAGAGGTTCCACATTCACTGCAGAGCAAAGAGAACTACCAGCTCCCCTTCCCCTCCATTTTTCTTTGGAAACCTTTAGTTCCGGTCTTGACAGCTGCCTCAGAGAGGTCCCTTTCTGAATGCCCAGTGGCTGAAAGGCTTTGGCTTAGGTTTAAAAAAAGCAAACAAACCCCAAACTCGCTTTCCAGTCACTTCCTTCACTATGAACTTTCAATAAAGGAAAGAGTAAGATGCAAAAAAGTACTGTAAAGAGGGGAGATCTCTCTGTTCCCATTTCCTTTTAATGACTCGGGCCACAATGGGCTTCTGAAGTGGAATAAAAGTATCAAAGTGCGTTTTTTTCTTTTGAAGGAAGAATTAAATCAGTGTGGTGAACCCAACCAGCCTGGGAGTGTGGCTGGTGCTCTAATGTGGACTGTGAGAACTTTGTGATGTGCCAGGAGAAGGTGCTGAGCCTGCAGCTCCCAGAGAGAGGAGAGCAGCCAGCAGCCCTGCAGGTGCCAAACACAGCTCTAGCAATGGACAATTAAGAGCAGGATTCCCCATCTTCTGATGTTCGTAAGACAAGCCCAGATGTACTTCAAACTAACACAGCTCTTGGGTTAACAGTGCACAATGGCACAATGCTAGAGCTGGGATCCCAGAGGAGGTTCACACGGATCTGTCTAATGTGCTCTGCTAGTCCTACGGTCTTAGAAGTTGGTATTTGGATCAGCAAGCTCATTTCTGGTGTCACATTTCCAGGTATTGTATTGTGTCAAGTTACTTTAAATTAAAGCCTGTGTTAAATGGCCACAGCCACTGCTGGATGGATCACTCTGCAGTTCAATATTAGGGCACATGAAACTTTTCCTTTGATAGGATGGCAACTTGTTTGTTTTTCAGAGTTTACCATGAAAATCACAGAGCACAGAGCATTTCATGACACAAATGAACCAAATTCTGCATTAAAGAGAAAGACTTCTTGTGGTTACTCTCATGGTGCCTGCAGCCTCTTATTCCTAAGATTGAAGATTGAATCAAAGCACTGGATAAAGCTTCATGTGTTGTTACACTTCTGGTATAATCAGATCCCAAGCCCAACCTCTACATTTGTTTGTTTTGCCATTGTTTCTCAGTTAACACCATCTTAGCCCTTAATTTTATATTTATATTTACTCAATATAAAAAAAAAAGTAACAAATGTGCTTGATAGCACATTTAAGAGGATATTCAAATTTTCATTGCTGTACTGAGTGCAGAACGACCCAACAGAAACTAACATTTTCTAAGAATTTCAATTAAAGCCAACATGGTAGCAAGAGAAGTTCTGCTATTAAGCTGCATGAATGAGACCTCAGGGATTTTTGGTCAGCTGGGTTAGATTCAGGATCCTGTCCTATGTTCCCATAATTTTACTCCAGAGCTCTCTACTCTGAAAACACCCTACAACACTGAGCTGTCTGACTGCAGTTCTCCTAACTACTCTTAATTAAAAGAATACAAGTTCACTGAAGTTGAATAACAGGGCAAACACGGAAGACAACACAGCAGTTAGTAGGGGACTTTGACACTGGGGACAAGGGCACCCAAAGCACCTGTCTGGCAGGACACAAACAGTGGAGGGAAGTTGGGTGTTAGTTGACAAAAGCTGGGAGCAACTTACAGGACACGGAGGTTTTTGAGTCCCTTGAAAGCACCTTCTGCAATGTGGTTGATGGAATTGTGGCTCAGCCGCAGCACGTGCAGTCCTCCGAGGTCTGCCAAGCTTCCCTCATCCAGCCTGGTCAGGTTGTTGTAGGAAAGTATTCTGAGGGAAAAAAAACAAACACAACAGCCCTTGTCAACCCACCTGGTATTTTCCAAACTCCTCTGTGCCAACCAGCGCCTGCCTCCCACAACCACCTTATTAGAGGTGATGTACTGGGTGGATACAGAACAGCTGGATTAGGAAATAAGACTGCAGCCTGCAAATATCCTACAAGACACCTGTGGGGAAGCCTAGATGACTCACAGGAGCAAGAGACAGCTGATACCCACCTATGGGAAAGTCTTCTGTGTGGGCTACAGAGAGAGGCTCCCCTGGAGGTGACTGAGACCAATAAGCCAACACACACACACAGAGTCAGCTACAGCAGGGACGAGCTACTCCTGCTCCTGTATGGCTGGGTGAGGGTCTGGGAGCACCATCCCCTCCGTCCCCACAGGTACAGGCAACACTCAGATGGTTGTGTTTAATCCCTGTTCCCATTTGGATTCTCTCCGAGGCTTACAGGAAAAAGCAGTCCCTCCTTCCCTGCGCCCTCTGAGGTGGAGAGAGACGTCAAACACATGGATTTTGAAGTTCACACTTGCTCTTGGCAGGGTCCAGGCTTCTGAGCTCAGGAGGTGTCTTATCGCTCTGCACTGGTGCACAGCGAGCCCCAGGCGTCTGGGTGTGGGTGCCTCCACCCCAGCCCAGATCCAAGAGCATTTCACCACCAGGCAATTGGAAGCTTCTTTTCACGCACAGGAAGGAGGGATCTGCTGTAAACCAGCCACCTTCCGTCCTGCTCCCCTTTGTCGAGGAGCACACAGTCTGCCTGAAATCCTCTCCACTAACAAGACGCTCGTGTTGGAGGGTTGCTGGTTTTTTCCTAGTTTTCCAGCTACCTCTTCCTCTCTGCCTGCATTATCTCTGGTTTGGGAGATTTTTTTAAGTGCTACTCCTGTTGCAGTTTGGAAGCTGGTAGGAAGAAGCTGCTTTTCTCTCCCAGGAAGGTGCAGATGAGGTTTTGGAGGTCTGACACCAAGAGCAAGCCATGGGAAGCTACAGGCCACTGCAGTCACCTCTCACACTGTGCAACCACCTTCTGTGCAGCAGTAGAGCCACAGTGTTGCTGCTGTGGAAGGCCAGCTTGGATTGCAAACGAGGCACCTCTCAGGATAGCAGCAGGCACTGGATTTTTGGAAATACTTTAGAGACCTGGGACCACAAGTCACTTCAAAGAATGCGAAGATTTGAGCTGCTCGACTTTTCAAAGAGTGGAGTTATGCAGCTTTGAACAAGAACTGAAATCTTTCACTGCACAGACAACAAGAAAAAAAAAAATCTCACTGAGTTCCAAACCTCTGAATTCCTCTTCTAGTACTGCCTGTTAATGAGTTTGCTTAAAAATGTGTCTAGGGCTTGCATGAAACTCACTGCAAAGCCAAAACCTAAGTCAAAACAGACACATACTCTAAAGCCCTGAGAGTGTCATTTACTTGGCAAAAGTGCTGTCTATCTTTTAGCTGTGTGAGTGGGCAGAGGGCAAGCTCTGGAAAAAGTTCAGCAAAGATTAATGAGTTTGAAGGTATGGGACAACATACTTTCATTCCTAAAGAAGTTGTAGTGTTAGTTATGAAGAACTGGCATCTGGTCAAAATTATGTCCTCACCTGCGATTAAAGAATTTGTCTGGGAAAAAAAAAAAAAAAAAGTGTTCAAAAGCAATCCTAAACCTGGCTGAGAAAATAAATAGTTCCTTTTGATTCTGCACAGAATAGCTCCTGCCACGACTGGTGAAGGCACGTTCTCTCTGGCAATTGTGCTGTCACCTCAAGATGGACAGACAGAGCAGTACTTGGAGAGTCCCCCAGTGGTGCACCCACGTGGAAGGTTTCAGGAGCTACTGCACCTGGCAGTGGCTTCTTCAATGTGCCAGGGCTCTGCTTCCCACCATGGGACAGGCCAATTTGCAAAACAGCAGGTTTCCCTCCTCAGCAGTGTCCTGCTGTGCAGCGGTGTCCTGCTGCCAGCCAGTTCTGGACCAGGTACACCTGACACGCTTCATTCCCATTGACCAAACTACGGGTAAAAAGTGAAAGGGAAGACCCGACAGCCAAGTCATCATTTACCTCTGGTGAAATTCTAGGCTCCCACTGTGGGTTTTGCCATGATGCTGATGTTCTAGCACCTGACTGGTGAGTACAATCAGCCCTTTCTCATGCTCATAACAAGGCAAGAGCTTTCTTTCCTTGTTAGCTTTTACATCAGACCCAAGCCTTGGGGTCACATTTTGTCCCAGCAACTGAACGAGAGACAACTTCTTCTTCAGATGACCAAGTCCTTCCTTAGAATTGGAATTCATTCCCTCTACAACCATACACAGTGTCTTCTGGTAACTGAAACCCAGTAGATTTAGCAATAGTGGAGACGAGCAAGGATCTTTCAATCAGGAATGAAACGTTCACATTTAATGAAGTGCAGGAGTCAGTCTGGATGTATCCACTGCTTCCTTTCCTCACCCTTCAATTTCAGAGCAGACCTCTCCTACAAATACTCTACAAATTCTCGGTCTGTGGGAGTTTCAGTTAGGAGATCTGATGGCTCCCTGCAGCAGCCTTACCCTTAAGGCAACACCTGCAAGAGCTTGTAACATTTCGCAGGGCTGTGTGCTAACACCCACATAATCGCCTTTCACATCTCAGTCACTGTCGTCTCTGGCCTCACACTCCAGCACAATCCTGTTTGTCAGGCCGAGCACACCCCAATGGCTCCCACCACCTCACATTTCCAAATCTACCCCATCCTGCACCAGCACAAGTGACTCCTGCACTGGGTTTCTGCAGTTACTGCACAGGATGGCCCTTAAGTTGGATGAGATCCCAATCCATACCTGACAAATAAAGGACTCAGCACGACATGCAACCTCCAGTCTAAACCTTGGGTGTTTGCAGGACAGTGTCAGGTATAATATAAAAGACAAGCATAGCTTTCCCTAAAAGAGTTCTGACATTAGTCCTGGGCCAAGAAAAGGAGCCCTTTAGGCACGGGCAGTTTCGCAGTAAATTGAAACATTAGGTAATTAAACAGTCACACATGTATTTAAATAAAACTAAAAATAAAGCCTTTCCTTGCGCCCCTCACATCCGAATGAATAATTTGGGTTCAACAGCTAATCACAGGGCTAATATGCTAATTCTAAACTTGAAGGGATTACACGGTTCGTGCCCACCTACCTCTGAATCCACAGCCCAAAAGTCTAGGGGCTCACAGCTGGGTGGGCAGGCACCAACCTAACATGAGTCCAGAGTGAGGCCTCTGGCAGCAGGAAGCTGCTTTACCGTGCTTTGTGGCGGATAGGAGAATCCCTAACAATGTTTAACATTTCTGAGCACCGAGCAGAATGAATTGCAGTCCCACTAACCACATGTGTCAAGCTCTCCAGAGAAAAAAGTGAATCTTTCCACAGTCCCACCGAGGGGATGACAGCTACTTCTGTAAATACTGCAAGTCCATGTGTGCCTCTTCAAAAAGGCATTAAGCAGTGCCACAGACCCAAAAGACACCCTTGTGGGGCTGTCCTCAGCAGCAAGGCTTTCTTTCATTTATCAAACACGCTGTATTCACAGCTGGAAACCTCAGGAGAGCAAAGCCAATGTATTTACTTTTCAACAACTGAACCCTACAGGAAGGGGTAAAGTGTAAACAGGAGAACTGCCTTTAAAGGGCCAAATCTCTGCTGGTTAAAAACACGATTGTTCTTCGTAAATACACAGGATAAAGCAAAGCTTCCTCCAGGCTGTACAGTCATTATATGGCAACTTACATGTCTTGTAACTCTCTAGCTAAAAGCATTGGCAAGCCACAGCTCACAAACTCTCCAGGTCTTTTGGCACTGTGTACTTCTAGTGGGTTCTAGTCTTTGTTTCTCGTGTAAACACATTTTAATCAGGTGCTCTGAAGGTCATAACATCATAAATAACGAGGGCATCACTTAGGAGGCTGCAGCTCCTGCATTTCTACAGGTTGATAATACAGTGGGAGCTGTAAGCCTTGTGACTGGGAAAATTCCTTACTCTCATGCCAACATTACACAACACAACAGAAACCAACTTACAGCTCATGCAGCTTCTGGCAGAAGCTCCAGCCATCGGGGTTGATGCGGGATATGGAGTTGTTACTGAGGTGAAGCTGGTGCAGAGAGGAAAGGCCATAGAGAGAACCGCTGTTTACTTCTGTCAGGCTGTTATATTCCAGGTGGCTGTGGAGAAAAATCAGAAGGAATTGACAGATAAGCAGCACTGGTCAAATTGCTGGAGAATTTCCAGCAAGAACTGGAATTCTACACACCCATGTGGATACATGTATGTGTGGGCATTTCTTGTCAAAGGCAGGATAGAAAGAAATCCAAGGACAACACAAAGGAAACGCCCAGAAGGAGCTGTAACTGCAGACATAAGCTCCACTGCAAGTAAACTGGGTTTAAAGCACCCCAAACAAGTTTATATTTGCAGTGTGTCAGTTGTGTGACAGCAGCATCCAGAAACATGCTGCCTTGTGACCTTGCAAACACACCTGAAAGCCAAGCATGCTGGAAGCTTCAGGCATTTCTCTGCAATGACTAATCAATTTGTTCCCTAGTATGGAAAGAAAGCATCATCTAGATAGGGCAGTTTGGTTTCTAGGTATGCCAAGAGGTGGAATAATCATGACTGCAACACAGAGTTCCCACATGTCAGCCAGACAAGCTTTTACTCAAAGACCGATTGAGATCATACGGAATGTTCAAATCGTCAAACTTTCAAAGGAAAACTCACAAGTAACAGGACTTTTTTGACTGAACACCTGGTAAAGCAATGAGTTTTAGCAAACTGTGGGTCAACTAAACAGAAACTGCTGCAGCATGGCAGAGCTCTGGGCGTGCAGGACATAGGAAGAAGCACGAGGACTGGCACAGGCGCTCAATGGGTCTCTGGGGAGTCCTCGCTAAAATGCAGAGAAAGACATGAAAGCAGGTAAAGTCCTGTCTGTTTAAGGGAAAAGAACCCCTCTCACAAACTTACAGAACTTGCATCTTGGCTAGACCCCAGAAAGCTCCATCAGTCAATTTGCTTATGTTGTTGCGCTGGAGTTTCAGGACTTCCAAGCTGTCCAGTCCCTGGAATGTCAGGCCTTCGATCAGGCGGATGCGATTCCGGTTCAGCTCCCTAAAATCACCAAGGCCATACAAGTTTATTAAACCCCAGTCCTTTCTCACGAAGTCATCTGTGCAGCACACAATGGGGACAGCAATGCCAACAACTCCTCTGTCAAACATTCCCGGGAGACAGCAGAAACGCACCGGAAACTTTCAATCCCAGAGCTATCCAGGGAAGTCAGCTGGGTGTGATTGCTTAAATAAACTCACCCTGGGACAGCCTTTCACTATAGAGGAATAACAGACTGCAGCAATCCCTCTTCATCCCTCCTTTCTCTGCATTTCTTTTAAGCCATTGATCCTTTTCATCAATTTTCACACTTCATCTTGTCTCAAGGGCAGACACCATTTGAACCAGTACAGCCAAACATCAGAATTATTTCCCTTACAACCCATTGTTTTTACAGGATTCGTAATTGCCCAGTAAAAATGTGCTCTGAAAAATGCAGGTGAGGTGCCCCAAGAACTGTGGGCTCAAGAGGAAACTTTATGGCCAAGTTTGAAAGGAAAGCTTTCAGTTCCCCTGACAAATTTCACATTTTTTTTTCTGCTATAAGAAACTAATAAAGAGTGAAACAAGTTGTTTCCAATAACAACGCAGTCTTAGTACTTTGTGTATACAAAGTTCTCCAGCTTGGTTCATTAAATTTCTTTTTCTTTTCCTCGGGTGGGGAAGGACTCCTAAATTTTGGGTCTACATTGTTTTCTGGATAGCAGTATGAACAGAATCACAGCACACTTTATCAATCTATATCAAACAGTCTTATGGATTGCTTGACCCAGACATACCAGATGAAAAGCCAATTCCATAAAGTCAGTGGAAAACCTCTACACAGTGCACTGAAGTAAAGTGAGAGCTTTTAAAATGGATACTTTCCCCACACATACAAGACTAACCTAAGGGTAGTTCCCTAGTCAGTGTTTGTGTTGAGGAAAATGGTGGAAGTTACAACATCAGAACTTGTTTTGGAAAAGATGAGGAAGCCATAGAAACTTTTAGCTTACTTTTCAACTGCCTAAAAAAAACAATGTTGAACTTGCACTCAAGTTGAGTGTAATTAAAGTCAACTGAGCAATTAAGACTTTGCAGGCTTAAAGTCCCTTGTCGTACTGCACTTCCTGGGCTATTAGTGAAACAGGCTTTGCCAGAAAAAGTACACAAATTCTACAACACATCAATCTGTATAACTTGCAATTCATTCATGTTTATCCACAGGGTTAAACAACCAGCTGTGAGGCTGTCATTAAGAGTACCAATTACCCCAACTTTCAGTGCAAACTGCGTTCCTAAACAGTCTGAGTTGTTTCTATTACAGTTTTGCACATAATGCAGTCAAACACAGGGGATTACAAGCTCTCACTCAATGGACAGTAACTTCCAAAGGAGAGGCCACAGACTTTTAAGATGCATCTGCTGCTGTGTCACCCCGTTCAACCCCGAATTCACTATAAATCCTGCATGCATGCAAGCACAAATGCACACACATTCCTTGGGCACACCACGGCTTAAGGATCTGCCCCTGCCATTTAGAGGTGTGAGTTCCAACAGCTTGTGTGGACTTTATGTTAACAGACAGAGGTTGACCCTTTGCCTATCAAATTTGATGGAATGATTGCAACAAGCCTCAGGCTGGGCCCGTTTCTCCAACAGCAGCAGAAGGGAAAAGCTAAACAATTAGTGCTACTTTTTTACACACAGAGCATGTTTACAGCTGCAGATGTCTGAGTGTCCCCATGCAAGCAGGACAACGACAATGTGTGTGTTAACTCACCTCGAGTGCTGTTTTCTCTGCCCAGATATCACTGCACAGTTTAACAACCTTCCCTGATTGCATTTTTATTGCCACATAAAGATACCTGTGTGGTCTTGAAAAACTAACATGGTACCTGAGCTCTGTCACTCGCAATAGAAACATCTTCCAAACCTCTCCTGCACCACAGACATCACAGCAGCTTGCAAGGGAATGGAACTGTCTCACTCTGCCAAGCACTCAAGATGCTGATGTCTGCTGCAGCATCCCTCCCTTCCCAGCTGATCCAAAAGGTGGCCTGAAAAGCCAACAGTTACGAGACAAAAAGGACCCCCTCCCAACATATTTTACTAGGTGCTGGCAGGGGACTGCTGCATAGTGTATTCTACATTTTACAGACAGTAGGTGAGGAAGGGTGACATTTGGTGTGTGTATATCCTCAGGGATATTTTGTCTCCATGAAGTGGGGCTGAGCTTAATTAAAGTGGACATTTCTACTCACAGCTGTATTAGCCTGGGTAGCCTGAACGCCTTGACAGGAAGCTGAGTGATCCTGTTTTTACTCAGACGAAGTGTTAGCAGGGACCGTGACAGACTATCAAAAGCACCAGGCTCCAGGGTGCTGATTCTGTTGCTCCCCAGGTAGCTGCAATAAATCACAGCAGAAAAATGAACAGTTCTGTCAGAAATCTCCTTTTATCAGCATTTAGTCGGTCTCGAGACAGGCTGGTGAAATTACAGCGATGGCTTCAAACCAGTTGGATTTCTGGCTGCACAAAGAGCACAAGAGCCTCTGATGAATGTGGAGAATCCCTGGGCACTTCCCAAGAGCTCCTTGATACCTTCCTACTTTAGAGCAAGGCAATCAGGAGCAGAAGCCAAAAATTGGAGAATATTCCAGTGCAAGATGATTCTATTCTTTCCCTGGTTTTCCTTCAGTATGTGTCCCAGGGCTCTTTCTTACTTGGATCCTAATCTTAGCCAGAGAGGCTGTTTTTACAGGACAACAGGCAAATGTACATCACACCACCATTCTCTGATACCCTCTTACCACCAGCACCAGAAACTAAAGTGTAAACTTTAATGCAGGCAGGTTATTTGCCTGCACTGCTTCAAAGGTACCTAAAATACAGATTACTTTATGTTTCTCTGAATAGGCAAACATCTCTGTAGGGAGGGGGTTACTCTGCTTAACCCCCAGCTTTCTTCTAATAACTAATGAGACATTTCTGTTCTTTCAATAGCCACTTTAATGACAAAATAGTTGTTCTCCTTCCACTCTTCCAGATACACGTGGGCTGATCTGGGAAACAGCACAGAGACTTCCTACAGGGCTAGAGACACGAACAGTTCTGCTGGCTTGTAGGTGGTTTGCAGATGTAAATCACCCACACCTGAAGGATGCAAGATAGCTTTTCTCTGCAACACAGTAATAATCTGCATTCATAAAGATGCATCAGAAACCAAAAAGACATCAATCAAAAAATAACATGGCAGTAGAGACAACGTGCTGCCTTTTTATTCTCCTTTGCACTTAAAATCCTGACAAATAATACCATACTTCTTATATTCATTACTTCTCCCTTTTTTTAAAGGTTTGAGGCCCTTTCCTCTGCTGGGGTAACTCAACAAAAGCTGTTCCCAACAAGAAAAACTCACAGCTCCTTTATGTGAAGTCCCTGTGGAAAGCAGCCGTTTCGGATTTCCGTGATGTCATTGAAACTCAGGTCCAAGGTTTCCAGGGTAACGTAGGGCTGCAGCTGACTTGCTTCAATGCTGCGGATCCTGTTGTGATGCCTGAAACGGTCAGGAGGAGAAACAGAAACTATTTAGTTCTCTTACAAAAACAGAAAGAATACTCGAGGCTGGCTGCAGGTCCCCAGGCTGGCCCTAAGTTTGCACACTCAGTTATGGTGCTTCCTCTACAGCTGTTGGAGGAGAAACCCATCCCAGAGAGACGCTCCCTAATCCCCGCGCTGTTCCTCTGTCCAGAGACCAGCTCACAGGTACCTGAAGGCTTTAAGACACTTTTTCTGCTATGGCACAACACTTTTCCCTTTTGCAGAACTATTGACTCCACTCATCGGTTTTTCTTCCAATCATCTGGGCTCGTTCTTCTACAGGCCTGCACTTCCAAAATGGATTTGTTACACACAAGGACTGCGTGGCTGGATTTTAATCCCGCAGGCAAGGAATGCTGCCAACGTTATTCAGAGGATGGGACTTCCAGAGAAGGAAACAGAGAAGTAAATACAACCTCCAGAAAAGTTACAAAACATTGTTTTCTTAATTCCTAAGGATTCTTCTAAAAATTCCCAGTTTTGCACTATGTTACAATGATTTGTAACACACAGAAAAACTTTAACAGGATTTGCAAACGTTCTTGTAAGTGTTTCCTCATCTTTTGCTACTTTTGTCCCACTGTACCATCAGGACAACTCTGCAGTGCCAGACCTGACCAAGGATCAGACCTGACCACAGATCAGACCCTGCACTGATCACCTGTGATTGCTGCAGTACAGCCTTAGGGTTCAATCTAAGGTTTTTCTTTGGAGAAGGTACTACAAGCTGTGTCTCCACAGCCACCAAACAGTTAAATATCTTTAAACCTCATCTGTACTCAACAAGGTCTAACAAAAAAATCCCCTTTCCTCTGACTCCTTTCTGGCCTGAATCACTAGAAGGAACACTAATCAATTAAAAAAAATACATTGTGCATTAGTCACAAGAAGTAGAGCACATGCCTGATGTGAATTCAGACCAGTCACTGATATTACTGGCAAGGTTGTGAGTGAGGCACTCCAAACACAGACACTCACCAGACACTTGGGAACTTGCTGAATAATAAGAGATAGTAGAGAGAGTTCAGACAAGTCCCGAGCCTTAATCCATCCAGCTACCTACTGGGTAACCAGAGGAGGAGACAGCAGCCAGTGAAAGAACTCCTGAAAGCAAGTCCCAGTTCTCCTGACAAAGCATCAGCTCTTTGAAACAGAAAACTGAAGGATGACCGACCACAGCCTTCCAGGCACTGGAGTTGACAGCTGCCTAGGAGTCGGTCTTCTCCAGCCTCACCCCAACTTCAGGCTCTTCCAGGGGTTCAGACAAGCCCCTTTCAAAGCAAACCTCCCCCCTTCAACAGCAAATGCCAACAGCACGTGGCAAAGGACCTGCTCCCCACACCGTCATCTGCTCCTTTACCCTCGCTGTTATTAAAACCAGATTGTTTCACCACCACATTTGCTGGTGTCTGCAACAGGAAGAGGATAAAATCTGCAACCCCAGAACAATTTGCTTTTTGGAGACTCACCCTTTAAATAGCCAGCACATGACCCTCCCTAAGCACTGGGGAAACAGGCACAGAAATGCTGCTTTGACTGAGGAGTTTTAATGATACTTAATTCAGTGCAGGCTCCCAAAACATTAAGGACCAATCTTACATCACTATAGCAGTATGCTGCTAATACAAGGACACAAGGTGTCAAGAAAATCAAAGTAAAGCCATAATTTATGTCTCCAAACTAGTTATTCCATGGGTTACAGGCACACAGGTCTCTACAACCAGAAACTGTATAAAAGACAATGACATGGCTGCTATCCAAATGACCAGTATTAATTTACAGCTAGAAATAAAGAGTGAATTTTCACATTCATGCACCCAGGAGAAGGAAGGTCTGGTGAATTTATACTATACTGAGACTAAAAGACAAGAATAATCACCATACCCAGAATTTTGTCGTCTCCATTAACTAAACACATGGAGGCAAAAGGAACTTTTTTCCCCAAGGACTAGTTGTGGGGTTCTTTTCAATTAACTCAATTAGTAGAATCAGCAAGTTCAAAAATTTCAGTCTTCTCTTCCTCCTCAAAAGCAGAGAGTCCAATAAATGTGTGTGTGTGAGCCTGATTCAGGAAAGCACCTCAACGCAGACATAACTGAAAGCAAACCCTGAGCTCTCCTGAAGCAGGGGCTGTGAGTTCAGCTCTGATCTCATCGAGGCTGTGATGGCTGAGATGAATCTGGCCGTAAATTAACAGGAAATGAAGACTTGTACAAACGAACTTGGAGAATCCATAAATCACCTGACAATCTCTGCACAGGGCAGTTAAGTCTGCAAGGGACTGAGAGCACAGAGCGAATTTGGACATGAAGTGCTCTTCAGAAGCCAATGTTATTTTTTTGGAGTATTAATATTTCTGTGCTTTGGTTACTCAACATATATCCAATCTGCCTGCCTGCCAGATCTCCCAGCCCGTCCCAGAAGACAGACTTTAAGAAAGGAAGAAAAGGACAGGAAAGATATTTTGTTTGAGCCATGTTAGCAGTTTCCAGGTGACTTCTGTCTGTTTGCCTCTTGCTTTCATGTGCTGCAGCTGGCAGATGAGATGGATGCGTTATTTTACACAGGAAAAAAACAGGCTCCCTTCTCTCCCTGTCTCCTTCAAACATGGGCTGACTCCAAATGTAACTCTCAGCTCCAAACACCATCCCGGGCCAGTCCCAGCTGGGGAATGTCAGACAGTTCGCTGCAAAGCACTGCACCCTCTCAAAGCACTGCACTTCAAACAAAGCCAGCCTGGCTGACTTTTCCTATACACAGCATGTGATATGAAGGCAACATTGCCCAAACCTTTTACTAGCTTGATTACAATTTATTTTTCATTCTTTTGGTAAGAGCCCAAATGTGATTTAACCCTTCCTGTTATTACTTGGATCCCCTCAGCTCTCCTGCCTTTGTGCCCCAGCTCATCACAAGGGTGTTTTACAGGAAAAAAAGACCGGTGATGTTATGACTTTGCCTCTTCTCTTTATCACTGACTGGAAAAGGGTTGGATTTTTCCCAACTAGCTCCTTAGTTTACACTTGGTTGGCTTCAAAGGTGACAGATCAGATTTTAGTACCAATTGCTGAAACCAGCCAGGAAAGCACAAATAACTGGTGCTTGCACAACCGATTTGCCTCCAGGTGTCTTTCCCTTTCCCTACTCCTTAGGTATCACAGTCTGGAAACAGCTTTCCCTGCCTCACTTCAGCCAGTGTTACCTCAAGAGTATAGGATGACAGGGCTTCAATGTGAGATTGTGCAATTAGAGCCTGGAGCAGCAGCCAAGTCTCTTAGTTTCTATTCCCAGCTTTGGCACCAGCTCATCTGCCTTGGGCAAGTTCCTTAACCCCTCTCTACCTCTGGTTTACCAATGTGTATGGAAAAGCACTACCCAGCTAGGACAGTACAGAACTGCCTCTGATGAGGACTAAAAATCTGGAGTCAAAGCAGCTCAAGTGAAAAGGAAATCATAGGAACTAAGGAGCCCGTCCAAGTCCATTTGGGTTTGTTTATGAATATGGGAGGATCTGGTGAAAACAGCTGAACTTCCCAGTTCATACCCAACGTCATTCCCACAGACACCTCATCTGCAGCTAACACAGGCCTTGAACTGTAACATCTCTGTGCCAAGCTAAGGTAACTCAGAGTCAGCAATGGATTACTTTTAGACTCCGAGGTCTGCACATATGGCACTTGCTCAGGAACTGCTTCACCCTCGAGTCAGCCCCAGCTGCAGAGGAAGAGAGGGGAGCTGGGGGGAGTCACTCTGCAGTCTCTCAGCTTAACCCACCGGCACCCAGCCTCAACACCCTGAGGGAGCACAGTCTCTTAGCCCCTGCACTCTGCAGTGCTCTTGAAGAGATCCCTCAGGATTACAGGAGATCTGGGTTAACCTCAGCCAGCTCTCTGCTGAACCAAGCCCACAAGGACGTCAGGAAGCGAATGTGCGCTCTCTGCTCCTCCGGGCTGAGGAAAACAAGCAGAACGTTCCAGTGAAGCCAAAGCGTGTTTGGGTTTGCTCTGAATCGTGAGGGAGCCGAAGGGGGTGGCAGGAAAATAACAGGTGGCGCAAAGTCAAAGGCTTGCAGCATTTCCAAGAATCTCAGTTTGTATTTTAGAGGTAAAGTTACACTTCAATCCCAGTGGGTTTCCTCGTTCGAAGCATCTTTGTGAATATTTATTTGATAAACAGGTTGTGAAACATTTTCCACTAGACCTAATAGGAGAAGAATTCACCTTCTTCTTTGCAGCAAGCCTGTCCTTTGGAGAACACTAATCAGTTTAATTTAGACCGTGGTTTCAAACTCCTTGTGTGAAATCGATGCAGAGAGCAATGCAAACACGCTCCTTTGTTGTTTGAGCCACCTCCACTCCCCCCAGCAGCTGCCCATTTGAAAGCTGACAGCGGAAAATCAAAGCAAGCAGACCCTCAGATGGGAATGTACGAGGGGCTTTGGATGGACTGATTTAAATACAATCAGCACAAAACCTCCTGGTTTAGACAAAGCTTGAATTAAGGCTGCCTGAGCTGCTGAGAGTCTGCAGCGCAAATGTTCGGTGAGAAGCGAGGCTAAAGGCAGGGAGAAGTCACATGCTTGGCCTTCATGTAGTGTCAGCTTACAGATCTGGCTGGGCTCACCAGAAAAAAGGGAAAGCTGCAATACAGCAAACCTATTAAACCAGCACCTGTTACAGGCATCAAAAATAAAACCGAGCTTCAAACGAGAGGCTCCGCACCTCGGGGAGGGTTCTATTAATATGGCAGCACATTTTCAAAATTAGCAAACGAGGGAAATCACAAGGCTAGAAAGAGAGAAATTTTAAAAGTTCAGGGTTTGGTTAATATTTTGATACTGAGAAAGTATTGAAGAAACTAAATGCTGGAGCCAGAAAGGGTTATGGGGTTTGCTACTGAAGGACAGGCAAGGTTTGGCGTCAGAGACTGGCCATGCAAAGAGAGGGAGATCAAAGG